TGGCTGACTGACTGATTGATTGTTTTAGTTTTGGATAGATAAATACCATCAGCATCAGTATCGGCGGAGCGGAGACTTTTGGAGACTGGAAAGTGGAGAGGGTTGGATGGTATCCACAAAGTCCGAATCCGCCGAATCCGAATCCGCAACCGTTTGCCGGGGGCAGGAATACGAATCCAAATCCATATCCGATCCGACTTGAGCATAGCTTATAACCCTGACCCTGGGCATTTCACTTCTCTCAAAACCTGCCGGAGAGGAACAAGGTTAGTTCGCTCACAAGACAACAGGATAAGCTATGATTTTGGATTTAATTTCTCCATTCCGTCCTTCTATTTTTGGGGGATTATCCACATCTTCTTCAGCGCTGGATTCGTATTTACGTTTTAATGTACAGCATCGTGTGACTTAAGATTAAACTTAGATATTAAATGATCAGTAGGATGGGCAAATGAAGTGTATGCTAGACCTAAAAACAAAACCATGGGGGCAAAAAACAAAGGACCATTCTACTTTATCATCCTCTTGATTTAGCCTATCACAATTTGAAATATATAGCAAAGTACATTTTCGATTAAAATTACTTAGTTTTGGCGCCTTGGCAACTCTATAACGACGCCGGCTGTCGTTCTCCGAGAGAGAAAATAGATGGGCGAGAGGAGAGCGAACGAAGCCGGCAAGCAAAAGAGAATGAGTGAAAACTGCAAAACACGCACACACATACAGAACCGCGGGCGTTAGTATGTATGCATGTGTGCGGCCGCCATTTTGGGTACAGAACTGGAAGAGCACAAAATAACAACGAATAGCCGAACCAAAGAGTAATGCGAATAAAAAGACTACACTACAAACATAACTTTTTTTCCAACTTTTTTCTCGTTTTTTATTTTGCAAGTGAAAGGCAACCGTATGTTTCTGTGTGCGTGTGAGTGTGGGGCAACGTGGGTATCGAACATAACCTCACAAAGGGGGGAAATGTGCTCCAAGCTGAGGAAAACTCTGGGTTTCGTTGCAGAAAGTGTGCGTGTGTAGGTAGACGAAAACGGTGAAAATTTTCCATTTCTCCCGAGACGGCTATGATGATGCATTTTCCCGAAGATTCTATTAATATGACTGAAGTACAGTCGCACCGACACCGCACACACACACAGATACACGAGCGCAAGCGAGAGAGAACACAAAAGGGGTCAGACTTCCCCCGCAAAACCCCGTAAACCCCATTCAACTCGACCAACGACGTTAGCTTCGCATTTACGTAACAGAGTAGGCAATATATACTTTTATATAGAAGGAGAAAATCTAAGCGGGGCACATGATCATCAGCTGCCCCCGTTGCAAAAGAAAGAAAAAAAAACGGCAGATATATCCATCCGCCAGATAATGGACATACCTGTCGTCGTCCCGCTGGCCGGATGCTCCAGATTGGTTGTCCGAACTGCCGTTGGTCGAGCCGGCGGCGGCCCCATCCCCGTTTTCGGATCCAGGACCGTCGGCGGTCACGTCCTTGGTGAAATCCTCGCCGTTCATCTCGCTATCCACTTGCTGCTTGTCGGCCATGTTGTGTGTGTTTTGCGGTTCGATTTCTACTAATTTCGGGGGCTAATTTTCGGTTGATTCACGCAGAGCCGGAGATTTTCTACACACTCGCCAAAAAGTCGCGCGTACGAATGAAATGACGACCGGAAAATGACAAATGCAAGCGACAGCGTGTGTATATGGGTGCGGCGTTGCCACCTCGTCGCGCTGCCAGTCGGGGCGATTCGGTATTATTTAGCCAAGTGCTTGGCTGACCGGCCTGCTCTACCTGCGGTTTGTTATCTTTACATTTACAAGGTTTTACATTGGTATTTTCGGTATTTTTCAACCCCTAAATAGCCTTTACAAGGGTTTTATGGGCGCGTGACCTGTCAGTTTTTGGTATGGCAGCCCTGTTTCAAGCGGTGTGCACACACTTGAAATGGGAAAAAACAGCAAAATACAAAAACTAGCTAGAAAATTTAGCTATGAAAGATACTGAACAGTATAGAATTAATTTAAACTGTATAGAATTCAATTTAAAATTGGGCTTGTAATAAAAATTGTATTTTAAAATTAAGAAATCATTATAAAATTAAATTAAAACAAGACCTGTCCTGTAAACACATAAATATATACAAAAAAATTATACGATGGGAAATATATTATAAACAAATCATTTTTATACTGTAACAAATATAAAGCAAGATGCTAAAATGTTTCTTAATAATTTAACTAAAAAAAAAAATAATAATTTATTAAAAACAAGCTTTTCAGTTTTTTTTAAGTTTAAATGGAATGATATTACCGCATGATACTTCAACAAAAAAACTACACCAAACTAAAATTTTATTTCTTTACAACCCTTTATAACAAGAAAAACTTATTCGTCAAAAAATACCAACTGCGCCACCCCCAGAAACAGTGTGCACACACCCGCCGCAAAAGCCGCCATCATTCACTTCACACACCAACGCACACCAACACACGCGAAAAGAAACCGAGAATAAAACGCTGCAGAGGCAAAAAAGAGGAAATCGGTTCTCGATTCTCGACTCAACACACTTGTCCAATTTCATTGCGTTTGCGATTATTTTCTACTCAAAAGCCACAACCTATGCATCGTAACTTAATTCAACAACAACTGTGATCGCCAAACATCGGAAAATAACAAAAAAGCACGTCTAGAATTGCCAAGTTAGTTATTCCTAAAAAAAAGAATAAAAAATTGCAACAAAGTAGAGTAGTGTGCGTGTGTTTGTGTGAGCGAGTGCGCCAGTGTGTGTTTTGTGTGCAGTTTGCAATTTTGTATTGTATTTTACAAGTTTTGCCCACCGATTATTAAACCGAAAATCCCGCATAATTTCAGCGCTCCATTGAAAAGTCCACCACCCCCCGCCCCGCAGGAAGATAACAAAGAAAAGTGCTACAAAAAGTGCCGATTTTTCGGCAAATTTCAACCCAAAAGCAATACACATTGTGCATTACAACTAAAAAAAGGAGGAGACAAATCGCAGAAAAAAGGTGAGCCGGCGGCGGCCTCGTGTGCGCGGTCTAGAAAAACTGGCATTTTCCATTTTCATTGGGGTGGCGCATACTAAAAAATAGCAAACAAAAAAGGAAAAGTCCAATGGGCGTGTTTTTCTTTTTGCGGGACTCCTAACATTTTTTCCGTTTTAGCGGCTTTTTTTATTATCGCTTGCGCATAACCTAAAAATGTACGAAAAAGAAAATTGTTTTTGTAAATTTTTGTTTAAATGCTGCTCTTTAACTATCGCTTTCTTTGTTCTTCCTACACACGCGGTTCGCTGGCAGAAAGAGAGAGGAAGGGAGAGAGAGAGAGTGGCGCGTTCATAACCGCATAAGTGTGTATGTGTGCCGCAACTCTTTGTGCATTATTTGTTTTATCGGCAAATATTTATGGCTAAAAGGGGGTAAAGAGCGCACTCAAACTAGTTTATTTTAAACTTTTTATGTTTAACTTTGAATTAGATTGATTTATCAGCCAATTAACCTCTTGGCCGAGCTGGAGTTCAATGAAAGCGGCGCCACAACCTTGAAGCCCGAACATAACCTCAATTTAATTCATGCTCCCCGCTTGGCGGCTTCTTTTTTTTTTTTTTGCCCATATGTGTATGAGGTCATTTACTTACACACACATGTGCAAAGTCCTTTGAGTCAGGATCGCAGGTATGAAAACGAAGAGCACGTGCAGGGTTAAATATCCTGCAAGAACAAAGCAAATGGAAACTTTGGGTGACAGCTGCACTACACTAAATTTTCCCCTCCCCCCTTTCGCATGTGCCAATGTGTGTGGGGCGAAAAGTGGGTCAAACTGCATCGCGCTGCGTCTTTTTTTATATGCACTGCGGTAAACTGAGCTCCCTTTTGGGTGGACCCCCTATCCTTTCGCCCAGTGAAACTCTAGATCCTCCTGCGAAGCCACAACAGCGGTCAAAGTAATAGTCCTCAGTGAACTTCAATACAATCGAATACTAGAAAGCCTTAAAAAATACGTTTTAATTTTTTAAAAACGATTTAAGTATTAAAAAAAATCGTAGAAATTTTAGACTTTTCGTTTCATTATCCTTATTCTTTCGTCCAGTGAAACTCTTAATCCTCCTTGGAAGCCACAGCAGCGGTCAAAATAATAGTCCTCAGAGAACTTCAATACTATCGATAGTAGAAAACACTAAAGAATACGTTTTAGATTTAAAAAACGATTTAAGTATTAAAAAAATCGTAGAAATCGTTGAATTTTCGTTTCTTTATCCTTATCCTTTCACCCAGAGAAACTCTAGATCCTCCTGGGAGACCACAGCAGCGGTCAAAGTAATAATCCTCAGAAAACTTTGATACTATCGATTCTAGAAGGCCCTAAAGAATTCGATTTAGTTTTTAAAGACGATTTAATATATTTCAAAAATCTTCGAAATATTAGAATTTTTGTTTCTAACAATTTAGTAGGATATTATCGTATTGTATAGCTTTTAATTATTAGGATATTAACTTCCTTGGTTTTGAAGAAATCAAATGAAGCAGTTAAATCAATTTGCTTTTAAAAAACTAGGGTATAAAACTTGCGACTCACCAAACTTAGCTTATAATCTCCTTATCAAATATAAATATTCAAAAATTATAACACGTGATGGGACCACAGTGAATCATTTATAGAATTCGAATTCTTTAATCTCTATTTCCGAACCCACTCGAGATCAAGATGATTTAGTGACTCAAGCTTAAGTGCTGGTAATTCGACCGTTGTAGCTAAAGATTACGCCCCGTTTAAGACAGCTTTTTGGGATTGTGGCTAACGAAGTAACCTCTTCCTTTGATTTCAACGTATCAGATTGAGAAATCGACACCGGGTCCCTAGTCTTTTAGGACTTTTTCAAGTTTTTATAATCCAAAAACCAGACAATCTCCTGCATATTATTACTTTATATATACTAAAACGCCCGTATATTTTTTGCACCGTTTTGCAGACGTTCGAATTCCACACTCTCGAGTCCAAAACTATCGACACCGATCATCCAACGTGTCGAGAAGTCCAAGACAGAAAAAGGAAAAGCGCAATTGGAACAGGAGACTAAAAACCCCTCGTTGCGGAGCCCTTAGTTCAGAGAAGGAAGAATCAATCGCCAGCTATGGTCATGGATGCGACCCAATCGCAGCAGCCTTCGCCGCAGTCGGTGGGACGCGAGTTTGTCCGCCAGTACTACACGCTGCTGAACAAGGCGCCCAATCATCTGCACCGCTTCTACAACAACAACTCGTCGTACATCCATGGCGAGTCCAAGCTGGTGGTCGGCCAGCGGGAGATCCACAACCGGATCCAGCAGCTGAACTTCAACGATTGCCATGCGAAGATCAGCCAGGTGGACGCGCAGGCCACTTTGGGCAACGGTGTGGTCGTCCAGGTGACCGGGGAGCTCTCGAACGATGGCCAGCCCATGCGTCGCTTCACCCAGACGTTCGTCCTGGCCGCCCAGTCGCCGAAGAAGTACTATGTGCACAACGACATCTTCCGCTACCAGGATCTGTACATTGAGGACGAGCAGGACGGCGAGTCGCGTTCGGAGAACGATGAGGAGCACGACGTTCAGGTTGTTGGCGGCACTGTGGATCAGGCTGTGCAGGTGGCAGGCGATGTGGTGGCCCAGCAGCAGCCGCAACAGCAGCAGCAGCAGCAGGCTCCTCCGCAGCCGCAGGCTCAGGTCGTGGTGCCCCAGCAGGTGGCTCCCGTGGCGGCCGGTGGTGCTGCCCCGCAGCCCATCTTCTATCCATTGCCTGCGGGCGCTGCTGCCGGACGCCCGGTGGCCGTTTTGCCGCCAGCTCCCCAAGCCGCGGCGGTTCCACTGCCCGCGCAGTTCACCGTTCCGCCGCCACAGCCCATCCAGAATGGCGTGGTGTCGCACGAGGAGCTGCAGCAGCAGCAACAGCAGGTGCTGGTTCCACCCAGCGTTTCGCCTTTGGTGCAGCAGCAGCAGCAGCCTAGCGGCACTCCTGTGCTGCCTATTGTTCCAGTGCCAAGTGCGGGCTTCCAGCAATCGCCACTGGTGGCACCACAGCTTATCCAGCAGCAGCAGCAGCAACCTCAGCAGCTGCCCCCGCAGCAACAGCAGCAGCAGCAGCAACCCATCCAGCAGCAGGCTTTGCAGCAGCAGCAGCAACAGCCGCTGTCGGAGCCCGAGGAAGTCGAGGTGGCACCGCGACAGCTGCAGAAGCCTTCCACGCCCGTCGACGACTTCAAGACCATTCACGAGCAGCAGCAGCAGGAGAAGTACGAGGCCGCCAAGCAGCAGCAGAACGAGCCAAAGACCTATGCGAATCTGTTCAAGTCCACTTCCTCCTCGCCCAGCGGCTTTGTGAACGCCGCCCTGCAGCAGCAGCAGCAACTTCAGCAGCAGCAGCAACAGCAGCAGTCGATCAGCAGCAACACCTACAGCTCGTCTTCGCAATCCGCGGCCGGCGGCAATGGCGGTCAGGTTAGCTACTCCACCACCGCTTCGTCCTACAACAACAGCAACGGCAACTCGCGACTGGACAACGGAGGTCCGCTTCCTCAGCGCAACAACTCGATCCGCAACACCAAGGGTGGTAAGTCGTCAATCATCCCTTAAGTTAAGTGAGGTCATTCCCCTTGTTTCTTGAGGGAAAGTAGTGTAGAAGGTTTGTTGTTGAGCCTTTGATATCAAACACGTTAGGATTGCTGAAAGGAAAATATTACTAGAGAATTGGGACTTTTTTCTTATTAGCATGTTAATCAAACATTTGAAAAATGTATAAGCTAAAACTCTTTAATGCAAATATTTTTTATTAAATGAAATGCAGTTTGTCAGCGGAAAGTAATATTGTTGATTATACTACAAAGTCGATTTACCATGAATCATTACGATCGTTAGTTATTAAACCATATTATTATGATTGTTCATGTGTAAAAACGCCTTTATATACTTTTCTGTATTCATTTTATATTTTTTAACAATTTATTCTTTCTTATTAGCTATATGAGCGAAAATTCTTTAATGCAAAAATTGTTTATTAAATGAAATATAGTTTTTGAGCCTAAAATAATATTGTTGATATACTACAAAGTCGATTTACCATGAATTATTACGATCCTTAGTTATCAAACCATAATTCATTTGAAAAGAAACCCTGATATAGTTTTCTGTATTTATTTGATATTTTTAAACAACTTATTCTTTTTTATAGACTTTGAGCAGCGTCGGTCGAGCAACACTCAGCAGTTCGGTGATAATCAGCAGCTGTTCTTGGGCAACATACCGCACCACGCCAGCGAGGATGATCTGCGCGACATCTTCTCGCGCTTCGGAAATGTCCTGGAACTGCGCATCCTGTCCAAGGCTGGCAACAAAGTGATGCCGGGCATGCGCAGTCCGCTGAACTACGGGTTCATAACGTACGACGATCCCGAGGCGGTGCAAAAGTGCCTAGCCAACTGCGTAAGTATATAAAAGAAGGGAAAATGGCTGCAATGAACTTTCAGAAGAAAGCAATTATTATTTTTCTATGCTTACAACTTAATCATGATTATTAAAACGCATCCTTTTCCATCCCATAGCCCCTGTACTTCCCGGAGAACTCACCCGATGGCCAGAAGTTGAATGTGGAGGAAAAGAAGCCGCGCGTTCGCAACGACATGCTGCCCCGTCAGCCGATCGGTGGCAACAACCTGAACAACAACATGGGTCGTTTGGGCGGCAACAACGGTCCGCAGTCGCGTCCGATGGGAAACAACAATGGCAGCGGCGGTGGCATGATGCGTAACAATGCCGGGGGCAACAATCTGCGTCAGGGAGGCGGCGGCGGCGGAGGAGGCGGAAACGGTGCTCCTCGCCTGGGCGGCGGAGGTGGATTCGGACAGCGCCAGGATACCCGCACCGGCGGCGGCGGCAACAACCAGTCCAACGGACCGCTGCGCGGTGCCGGAAACGGACAGAGCGGTGGTGGCAACTACGGACGTCGCTAAAGGACGACATCCTCAGCACATCAGCCAATTCAAAAGCATCAGCAAGAGCAGCCGCAGCAGCAGCAGTAGCCGCCACAACAATAACAGCAGCAGCAGCAAGAACCCAACGTTAAAAACATCGACTTCTTCCACAATGCAATCAATCAATTACATTCAAGAACATCTCATGCAATTAAACACACAAAGACACGCAAATCACACAACCATAAAGTAGTTGGAGCAACCAAAACTGTCAACTGTCCCTTAAAAATGTTCCTCAGCGCAACTCGGGGCGTCGAGCTACAAAGAAAGAAAAGAAATAACAAAGAAATGAATAACGTCAAGATCTTGAGTCTCTCCTTAGTTTAATTGCGTTAGGCTCGCTTTTTCCAGCCAGTTCGTGCCAAAATATACCGAAATTCTGTGCAAATCTTTGTTGTGAACCCAAAAGAAATGAAAGCTTCAGCTCGTCAACTGCTACTCTCTACCATCCTCCACCCCACCACCTGCAACTCACGGAATCACCTTCACCCTGAAACACGTGTATTAAGTTTAAGTCTCAATCAACACACACCCATAAACACTCATCGAAATCACACAAACAAACAGACACACTCACCCATCTTAGCATAAATGTAAACTTTAATTTCAGCTATCGTTTGGCAAATCACTTTCAACAAAAATCTAACTTAAGTTCGCAAGATGAGAGAAATTGGTTTTTAAAAGGAAGGAAAGGAGCAATGCAACACATTTTCGTTTGTTTTTTCATTGAATAACCCATTACTTAAGCTAAATAAAAGAAGAAATTAAAAGGGAAAACTTAAAAAACTTAGCTAAAGGATATAAACACGAAAAAAAACAAACAAAAAAATGAAAAACCTTTGTAAAATGCAATAAAAAAGAGCAAAAGAAAGACTTGAAAAAAAAATTAATCTAAAAACTAAAAAAAAGGAATGTAAACACGAGAAAAATGTAAGGCGCGGTTATAAACAAGCAAGAGTAAGATCAAGCTAAAACACACAAGAACACAAACCTCTTAAAAAACATTGAAAATGAAACGAAAACTGATTCAGCACCAAGCCGCCGCGAGAAGGAAAAGTGAGGAAAAACAAACCCATCAACGTCGTCGTCGTCGACGTTTTCGCGCCCCAGAAAGTCCGCCGCATTTTAGAGCCTGTAAACCTTTTGCTACTTAAATCTAATTTGCAGACACTGATGACACATCTAACTAGCTAGTCTATATAGGGAATCGGATCGAATGATTGTTGAAATGAGAGCGTGTGTGAGGGCAAAAGCGGTGCCGGCGCCGCAGCGGGGGGCGTGGTCGATGCAATCGATGATGAGAGGGCGACGAACGGACGGACTGTGTTTTTCGCTTTTTTTTCGTTCTGTTTAATGAGTTCAAGGTCGTAAACCAAACTAAGTCATGCAACTTAAACGATTTGGTGTTTCCAACGCAGTTGTGAACTAAAATTTAGTACATATTTTTTAAATAAAATCAAGAAAAGCCCAAAAAAAAAGATGAGAACCATATAAAACACACACAAAAACCTATTATAATAGTCGGAGGACGAAACACAAGCTACTAACATTTTTCTCAAGGTAAAAACAAGCAAAACATGTAACAAAAAATATATACAAATATATATATAAATAAAAACAAAAACTCATATAATTTAATGTTAACTTTTAGACTTACCAGAAATCTAAATATACATATATATATATTTATATAACTGCTGCAGAAAAGGGGAAAGAAGAAAGAAGGCAGAAAAGCAGAGAGGGGAACTAAAAACATTTAAAATCGTGTGAGAATCTTTTTTGAGTTTTTTTCGCAGGCGTCCAAATATATTTGCCTAAGTTATTCTTGTTTTGTTAGAACTTAAAAACTTTTGATTCGTTGGAAACATATCATTTGTTTTTGTTGGTCGACGCCTGCTCTAGGGAATTAATTGCTAAATCAATTACTTTCTACAACTATTTCTAGTACAGACACACCCACACATACACCACTCACGTTTGCCAGCCACACATTTTTAGCACTGTGAACAGGGTCTAAAGCAATTTTAGTACATTTTTTGTAAATCGAAAATGTTAGTGTTCAAATCTTAGCTCAACGATCAGTGCTGGAAGTGCTTCGTAAACAGAAAACCACAAAAAAAAACAGCATCAAAACAATAAAATACAAATCAGAGGTACTAACTAAATCTATGTAAGAGTAAGGAAAAACAAACAATTAGAGTTCATGCTCATTTCGAAGTGAACCGATGAAATCACAATACTGCAGTTTGTAAAGAGTAAAGAAAACAGAAAAGGAAACACTTAATTATAATTTAATTTATATGTATACAACTACAAAATAATTATAATAATAAAAACAACCACAAAGATTCAGCGTGTTTACCAGAAAACTTATGATTTGTTTTATTTCCACTTCTGTACTTGTCAAAAATGATATACACAATATGTATGTTTGATCGGGTCGATCGCTTTTCGTTTCTGGTAAATGCGATAACTTGCGAAAAACACCAATAACTTGTAGATTAGATATCTGGAAATGAAAACACCACTCGAGGATACAGATACATATAATGTTTATTTCTACTTATCAAGGCGATTCCTGCGACTGAATCCGATTTCCATTGCCTTTGTGTTAAGACAACTGAGCATTCAGCATTTAAATGAAATTGATGCGCACAAAGCTAAGCAATTGAAAGCAATTTGCATAACTTAAATCAATCACCAGCCAGTCGAAAAATTTCCACTCTCCAAAGCCCCCAAGTCCCAACATAATTCAGTGGTGCGTTTTATAGCGTTTCAGATATAAAACATTTACGCAAAATCAATTCACTCATGCAATACTTTAAATGAAAACAAAAAAACCAACAGAAATAGTATAAATAAAGAACAAGAGTTTACGATTTTAAGTCTCAAAAAATTCGGTGTGATGTTTATTATTTATCTCCTTGAAGGAATGGCATATATAAATCGTAAAAATACGGAAAGTACCATTAGCTATGTATTTGTGGGATAAAGTCGATCCACTTTCCGCAATTTAGACTCCTGTAAGAATAAAGAGGATATTACAAAATAGGTAAATTATTTCAAAAATTTTAAAACCTAAATATTAGGCCCGTTTTCTCCAACGTTTGTTAAATTTAAAGTACGGTTTAAGCCATGAAATCGTATGTTAAAAGGAGTTTAACAAGCGAACGAGAAAACGGTCCTATATAAATCTGAAAAAATAACTACAATTATAATTGTAAAATTTCGATCTGATATAGCATATTTTTTGAAGTAACATACCATAAGCTGGTGGCGAACCCCCGTTGCCAATTTTTGGGTTCAGGCCATCGGTTAGACCTTGAGCGGGCTTGTAGTCATCGGTTGGCCACTTCTTAATAGCTCCAATTCCAACAGCTGCTCCCGCTGTCAGTCCCAAACCCAGCCCCATTCCATTCGATCCGCCATCTGCATCGCCCCTGGCACCAAGATCCAACTTGGCGACCGAAGGAGTAACCTGAACGGCCGGCTTGAAATCGTTCTTGGGACGATCGCTGGTCGATGTTTGGGCATGTTTGTGCCCAGCCTTTGGCGGCCATTCGCCCACCTTGCTGGGTGACCATTCCTGGGCAGCATATTTCCCAGGTTTCGGGTAGGAGGACCAGCCATCTGGACCATATCCGGTGAATGCGTGCACCGGCTGCGGATGCTGCGAAAGGGCATGGGCGGCATAGTGGCCGGGTGGAGTTGCTGGAACCACTGGAGTCACATAGGAAGCCCAGCCATTGATGAAGGCCGACGGGGGCAGGACGGACTGCACCAGGTATGGATTGTAGTTGTTGTTCAAGCTATAGCCATCCATTGTGGCCGGTTGCGGCGGAATGTAGCCGGCACGGATGGAGCCGGAAATGGGGAACCGCAGGCGCTTGCCGGGATCGGGCTTCTGGGTGGACTTCTTCACCTCCACCGTGGTCAGATTGATCGAGTGCATGCCCTGAGCTGAAATTTAAAGCATAAAATATTAACTATCGCCTAAAACTTTGCCTATTTTGATGGTTTAGAAGAGGTAATCTTAGTTTATAAGCCTTAGAAATATTGTAAGTTATTTCGAATTATTTTTCAGATCACCAGTAATTTAGGAAAACTCACCCAAAGCCCGCTCGGCACTCAATGGGTCCTCGAACTCAAGGAATCCAAATCCTCGTTTACGCCCAGTGTCCTTGTCCATTAGCAATTTCACGCTGGCGACTCCGCCAAACTGCGAAAAGTATTCGCGAATGGTTTTCTCATCGTGACAGTCCTTTAGACCGCCTAAAAAGATCTTGTTCGACTTGCCGCCACCGAGTCCAAGTCCACCATTTGCTACACTTGCACCACGACCTCCTCCCGGTTTGTTAAACTCGTGACGCGGCAGAGCGGGCTTGGTCTCTACAGCCCTAAATAAATAAAAAAAATTTAAATTTTAAATAGTTAAAGATTTTATACAATAGCCTACAATTAAGACAAATTATTATAATAATCAATAAAATATAAAGATTGTAAAATTATGTATTTAAATCCGTTAAATAATACAAATGATATCACATGTTACAATATTATCTTAATTTTAAAAACAGACTCTACAGTATAAAATAAAAATTAAAAAGACTTTGGATAAAAATCAAAAAATAAATATTTTATAATTTTTTTAAAAATTCTGAATTATCCCTGCATTAGAGGAAGGTTAATATTAGACTTTAACAATCAGCCTTTAATCCCCTAAAATTTAATCTGGAAACATTCCCTTCTAATTATGTAATCCGCCAAAAACAAAAAAAATTTAAAATATAAAATAGTCTAGTTACTTAATAAGTACTACTTATGTACGAATAAGCTGTGGCACTATTTGGCCAATAAACTTACTTGTTATCAAGGGTATGTGGTCGGCTCTTTTGGACATTTTCGACGGATTTGGGATCCACATAGGTAACGAACCCAAAGCCCCTTGAGTGGTTGCTCACCGGATCGCGCATGACCACCGCATCGGCCACGGCTCCAAATTGCCTGAAGAATTCGCGCAAGCCATCCACTGTAGTCTGGGTGGATAAGCCGCCAATGAAGATTTTGCGCAAGTGCTCGTCGCTTTCACCGCCACTGGCTGCGCTCGGCAAGGGACAATTACTCGCAGGAGCCACCGGATCAGGGATACTCTTGTTCCGGGGAATTTTGCACTGCATAAAGATAAAATCTCAAACTCAGACCTGCGAAACCCTTGAAGATCCTACCTCTTGCTGGCAAGTTGGCGTGGCACAATTATCCAAATCCATGTTGAATAAAATCCAATTAAGAAAGGGCAGAAATGAAGACGACGAGAGTTTAAATGACAGCCGAAAAAATCAAATGTCAAATACTTAGGTATGGACTATCGGGTAGGTTCCACTTAAGGAAAAAGGATGATTCGTCATAAATAACTGGACATTAGGCTGAAACCCTAAAACCCTTTCTTTCATTTGGTATTTATCTCAAGTAATTTTTCTCCAAATAAACCCTTGAAGCCTCCAAGCCCCAACTTTTTAAATGACTCAAGTTATGCAATCGCCCTCATACGATAAAAGTAATATTTGGCTAAAGAATGTAGTCATGAGGACTATAAAGTAACAACCAGGTGACTTTATAATCAGGATTGTCACCAGTAACACCTATAAATTATATTATCGATGGTAAAACAAGAGAGACTATCAGATACCCGTTCCTCAGCTAAAGGGAGTGCGAGGGAGATGGAGATATACAACTTTTATCGGGCATAACTTTTTAACAAATGTTCCGATTTGAAAAATTTCCTTTAGATTTTGATAGGTTTAAATAAACGCAAAAAATTGCATTTATACTTGTGTGGGCGTTACCCTTTTACTCTACGAGTGACGGGTATAAATAACATTATGATACCTCGTTTATGTCCCCGTTTAAGTATAGTTTTTTCGAGTATCTTATTATCTCAACTTAATTTCCTATACATGGGATCTAAAGAACATATATTATTTCCCGGAAACTACGAATACCGTCCCATCAATGGAAAAACAGATTGATTTTTTAATTAAGTAATTAGTTCTTTATTGGAAAATTCAGAAATATATATAAGCTGTTAGTAAAATACCGGCTAGTTACCTGCACTTACCTCCGAGTACCAACCAAGTCAGCCAGAAGAGCCACCAACCAAAGTCCAAAGTGAGTCCGAGCCTCCGCTCTGCCGGCTACAACTTATGACTTATATTTGGGGGAGAGCTCTCCTTTTTGGGAAACGAATCGTATCCGGCTCGGGAGCGTTCCGTCCGTGGCCCGGCCAGTCTTGCAAAGAAATAGGCAGTGCATTAGTACGCGTTTTGCCCGGGGGTTAAGTGGGGGTCTCTAATGACGGTAACTAGCCCTGCTCGCTACCCTGCCGATCTGGGATGGATCGGAACCCCGGATTGTGCTGCTGCTCCTGCTCCTTTTTTTTCGCAAGGATATTGCTCCTGTGATCGATTCGGGTGGGTAACATTGGTTAGGACTTTATTTTGCTTGTTTGTATCTCGTCGCTGGCGTTTCTCTCGAAACGAACTCTAATTACAGAACATTTGTAAGTATGTTTTCAGTGGTTTTTGTTTTTCTGACTTAGCGTAGCATCTACTTCTTAGGGGCTAACAGAGTGGTATGTTTCGTATATATGGATTTCGATTGCTAGGACACAGCGTGTACACATTTCTGCGTGGCGTTCGCCTTTCAGGAATTAGGATCTTCTTCTTTGCAATAAATCATAGTATGTGTAAAAGTTCTTAGATGTACAAAAAAGTCATTACAAAATATGGTTCTATTTGATTTCTTACATTTCGCTGGATCGCTAAAAAATAAAATCAATCAATAAAATACATCTACATCCCGACATGAATAAAGTTCAAGGTACCTCTACCTTATAAACGCCCTTATAACAACTGGGTTCTTCAAAGAGAATCCGTCGATCAATTGATTTTCTGTTGGTAGTCAATTTTATAAAATAAAATTATTGTTTAATTTATATTTTGTTTGTTGGTTTCTTTCTTTTCGTTTCGTTTCTTTTAGTTTGTTTGTTTTGTTAATATAGTTAAAACTAAGCGTTCAGGGTTCTTAACAACCTAAACATGAATTGATCAGCGAATTAATGGTTACAAAAGAGAGATAGCAGCGTCGGTTCGTTTCGCTTTTGGCTGTTTCACTGTTTATTAGCTTGTTGCTGTTTCTGGCAAGTAGATTTTGGTTTTGGCCAGCAGAAAGCCGATAGCTTTCACTTGCACTCGGCCTGGTTTCTGGTTCTGGATCTGGATTTCTTGGTCCTGATCTTGTCTGCCTACTGATTGCCTGCCTGAGACTGTGATAGTGATTGTGCTTGTGCCTCTGCATCTGCCTGCCTAGACTCTGCCTGATAGTCGTCTAGCTTGAACTGACTCCCTCTCTCTCTCTGTCTATGTGTGTTTACCTAGTTGCGAAAAAGGAGAAAATTTTGCATTAGCTTCGATTCGTTCCAATTAATATTGATTGTTTGGTTTGGCTTCCAATAGCTAGCTGCCAATAACGACCAAAGATCCGAGCGTTTTTCAAGCATACGATGGGATGTAGGACATGCTTTACCAATTCATTCATATTTACCTTGTCTAGTAACGTCTATTGCCGCCGCCCATGTTTCCACCCTGGCCGCCGCCGCCTCCGGTGTTGTAGTTGTTGCCGCCAAAGCCTTGTCCTCCACCCTGGTTACCTGCAAAAGATGAAGGTTGAAGAGCAGGGTTAAAACAGGTATGGTTTTATTTCAACTGACGAATGAAATATGCTCATCATCAACAAAAGAAAATTTACAGAAAAACAATTCTTTATTTTTGCTATTCGGTATTGGAATGAACTTCTCAATGGATTAAAAATAATTAAGAGCGTACAGAATTTTAAATCAAAATTAATTATACACCTTCAGAACCGTTCATTTAATGAGAGAATTTAGTTTAAATACCCACATCAGTTTAAATTTGTAAAAAACTATATGTTTCAATCTAAATTTGTATCCCATTTTGTTCATTTTCTTTTTTTTTTTGTTTTTTGTATGTTATATATAGTCTTTTTATTTCTTATGTGCTTTTAACTGTTTTTTTAAGATTATTTTCTAAATTATTCTGATCAAAAAGTATTGTAATACACGTGACTAGCACATTAATATATAAGTTTAACTTGTAGTGCCGGGAATTTAACTAAATAAATATTGATATTTTTCCCGGGTCCTAATCGAACTTACCCTTGTTGAAACCTCCGCCGCCTCCTCCACTGCCTCCTTGGCTGTACGGAGCCGGGCGGCTGTTGCCAAAGTTGTTGTTGCGCTGCGGACCGCCGCCGTAGCTCTGCTGGTAATCGTTGCCGAAGCCACCGCCCCCGCCGTTGCCGCCCCAGCTGCCGTTGCTGCTGCCGCCGCCGTAGCCGCCTCCGCTGGCGCCACCATTGTTCCAGCCGCCGTTGCCGCCGCCCTGGTTGTTCCACGGACCGCCGCCGCCGCTTCCGCCCTGCTGGTTCCAACCGCCCGAGGCGCCGCCCTGACCGCCGCCGCCAAAGTTGCCGCTGCTGTTGCCGAAGCCACCGCCGCCGCCGGCTCCGCCCCAGTTGCCACCACCGTTCTGCCTGCCCTGGCCTCCCCAGCCGCCACCGCCGCCGCACTGGCCGCGATCACCCTGACCACCGCGTCCGCCAGGCCGAGGACCGCCTCGTCCTCCCTGTCCACCGCCGCCTCCTCCACCGCCACCACCACCACCACCGCCGCCCTGGCGGTCCATATCCTGCTTGGCAATCGCCTTCTTCACATCGAGGCTCTTGTTCTTGATGGTGTGGTTCTTCTGGAGGATGATCTTGTCCACGGGATCGTAGTCATCGAACTCGATGAAGGCGAAGCCGCGCTTCTTGCCCGTATCCTTGTCGGAAACGATATTCACGCCAACGATCTGGCCAAAGTCCTTGAAGTACTCGCGCAGGCACTCCTCGTCGTGATCGTCGCGAAGGCCGCCCACAAAGAGCTTCTTCACCGTGGCCCCGGCATTCGGGGCATCGATCTCCTGGCGCGGCACAGCCCTCTTGGGCTCCACGGTGCGTCCATCGATCTTGTGCGGGCGCGCATTCTGGGCATTGTCGATCATGTACGACTGCGAGTAGGTAATGAAACCGAAGCCGCGCGAGCGCTTCGTCTTGGGGTCCTTCATCACCACCACGTCCACGATGTTGCCCCACTTCTCGAAGTGCGATTTAAGGCCATCGTCCGTGGTGCGGTAGTCCAGACCGCCGATGAACAGTTTGCGCAGCTGCTCTGGCTCGGTGATCTGCGGGTGAATTTCAGGGGTCAGTAATGCATTTGCATAGAATGGAATGCTCAAGTAAAAGCTGCCGGTTTTTGTGTAAATAAAATTCCAGAAAATATTGCGTTGTTTGGTATAAATTCGATTTTAAAAATATATATGGATTACCGGCATATTTCTAGAACTTTATTTAATAACAAGTAACAACTTTTTGAGATGCTTGTTGGCTTAATAAATATATGATCTTGAATTGTACAACTTTTGAAAAGTCGTTGTTTGGTATAAATTCGATTTTAAAAGTACAAAATACATATCGATTACCGGCATATTTCTAGAACTTTATTTAAATACAAGAAACAGCTTTTTGAGATGCTGGTTGGCTTAATAAATATATAATCTTGAATTGTACAGCTTTTGAAAATTCAAAGATCTATTTAAAAATTTTATTAAAATAAGAGTAATTAAAAAAGTTAAAGTATAAACGGAATTGTGATACATTATTAAAAAAATATGTATTAATATAGTAGATCACGAATTTTTAAATAGTTTTTTTTTATGTTTTATAGACAACACATCTAATCATCAAAAGTTATTCTGAGGAAATATGCATATATGATAACTTATCACTGATAAGGCATACAAAGATTAAAGTAAAATCCAGCAATGAGTAATTCCAAGATCAACACGGTTATTGATAGAAAGTAATATTCGATCGCAATTGTTTATGATAGTAATTACGGTACTCGGGCGAGAAAAACGCCGCCCGCCATTTTCTTTTTACTATTTGCACCGCCATGACAGCTCTCTCGTGTTTGTGTGTATGTGTTTTCGTTGACTCTTCATTTTTTCTCGTTAGACAGCCGGTATCGTATTTTCTTTAACAATTATGTATATATTGTTGCCCCAAAATGGGGTCCATTTAACTTTTCGCAGTGTCAATAACCGGTTGAATTCGGACAAAGATCAAAGACCTGCTTAAAGTACTTTACACCCCAGCGAAAAAAGCCGCGTGCTGAATGCGTTGCAAATTTTGTCGGCGTCGACATTTTGCACTTTCCCACGCGTTGGCATAGGAAAAACAATTACTAAACAACTACTCACCTCGTCACCATCGTCGTAGTTTCCATTGGAGTCGTTCAGATCCGCCATTATTGTATTGTTTGTGTATAAAACTCAAGCAACTTTAAAACTTTTCACTTTTTCCAGCAGACGCCCGAAAAGTGTACAGCACGCACAAAGGAATTAGGCAGCAGAGTGACCATTTGTCAGATGCGCCGAAACGCCTGGGATCACGCGCTATTAGGGTGTTCCGCGAAACATGAAACTGAAACGATAGTATAAATAAAGAAACTGTATATTTGGGGACTTCTTCAAAATATATGCACCATTAATTGATGCGCTTACCTAAAACAACATATCAACGTTTATTGTACCTGAAGTAATGGATTTCTTAATCCGGTTAGATGTTTATCAGCTACTCACACAAATTCAGAAATTTCAACAATTCAGCGAGGCTGAAGCGGTGAAAACCAGAGTTGACACCTTTCTTTATAAAAGGAAACTGTGTAACATGTTACCAGTACGCATTATTTATTTTAATTTCTTAACTTATCATAGCCGTTTGAAAATTAAACAAGAAAGGAAGCTAACTTCGGCCAGCCGAAGTTTATATACCCTTGCAGGTATGCCTACTTAAAATGTTGTTTTTACAATGTCAAAAATTAAAACGCCTACTTTCTACAAAGTTGCAGTGGTTTTTCTATTATTTTTTTTTGATTATTCCTATGGGAGCCATAAGATATAGTGGTCCGATCCGGCATATGTACTACCTGCAATAGAAAGAAGACTTTTGGGGAAAGTTTCATCGCGATAGCTTTAAAACTGAGGGACTAGTTCGCATGGAAACGGACAGACGGACATGGCTAGATGGACTCGGCTTTTGATTCTGATCAAGAATATATATACTTTATGTGGTCGGAAACGCCTCCTTCGCTGCTTTGCAAACATCTGACTGAAATTATAATACAATGCAAAAATTATAATACAATGCAACAATATAATGCAAGGGTATAACAAGAAATATTTTTGAATATTTAGTTAATAACTGAAATTTTTATGTTAAATTTTCAAAAATACAAAATACAAAATTATATGATGAATTGATAACTGATTTATTCTGAAGTTTGTACAAAAATACACAAAGTTCGTATACTGCTTTTCAATCCAGGTTGCCGGATGACGGATTATATTAAAAAAACAAATTATCTATTTTATTCAGTTTTTTTAAATGGGTCAGATAATTAAAAAAAAAATAAAAAATGTATTATTACTTAAAAAATTTAGAATTTCAATGATTTTTTTTAATGAGAGCGTGCAACATGAAAAACATAAAAAGAATACCCACAGCGCGGCAAAGCGCATTGCCCGCCCAAAACATCGATAGGCGTAAAACTATCGTTCCATTCCACCTACGAAAAGGTTGTCAAACATCGTTATCGTTTTCTGCTGTCACTTTCACTTCCTGTCGAGTCGCTTGCGTTTTTTCGTGGAAAAAAAGAAGCCAGATAAAAGAGTGTGGAGACGAGTAAATTGTGAATTTACCTTAAATAATCTTTAGTAAACGGTACGTGCTGGTGAATACGATTAGGCTAAGAACAACGCCGATTTGCGGCCCTAGACAAATTGATTCTTTTCGCCAATGTTCTGTACACCCGGTACAATGCGTGCGTGTGTGTGTGACGTCTGTATGTGGTGGCGGCCATCTTGGCAAAATTCACACACACGCATGTGTATTATCTTTTTTTTTTCGTTCGGAAAGGACAGTTGAGCAAAATAGAAGCTGCAAAATAAAAGCGTTTCTCTTAAAATATACACTATTATTAATTTGCAGCACCTGCTTGAGATACGTAAAGAACCGTTATCATGGTGGGATCTCGAGTGTACGTGGGCGGTCTGCCGTACGGAGTGCGCGAGCGCGATTTGGAGCGCTTCTTCAAAGGCTACGGCCGCACTCGCGACATTCTCATCAAGAATGGCTACGGCTTTGTGGTGAGTAAAGAAATAGATATTTTAAATATTTAAAATAAAAAAATTAGACTTATACAACCATAAAAATAATGCACAACGCTCTTTGAACTCTGTTTTCTGTAGCAGCCTGTAATGCGAAATAATACTACATTCGCTATTAAAAAAAACATCTTTCCACAATCATTAAATTACAAAGTCCATTTTAAAAGCATTTTAATTTCCATATCCATTTACTTCCAACTGTTAAAAGAAAGGAAAGAAAGAGGGTAGTTTTGACCTTCGTATGGCATGATTTTTGTTTGTCCTTCTAAAAGCGTACCTAGAAAAAATATTTAAAAAAATTGATCTATTTTAAAAGGTTTTTTTCTATGCCTACTTATAAATATTCTTAAACCCATTTGGTAAAATTTAAAATTAGTTGTTAAAATAACAGTAAATTGATTTTTAATCCTTAATTACACCCAGAAAACTGAAAGTTAGTCCTAAATAAAATTAAATTACAATTTCCTGTTACTATAGAAATGTAAAAAATTAAAATTTTTGTTTTCAACACTTTTATTCATCACTGTAAAGTTGTTTCTTTGTTTACTTATTAGTATTGCCTCTAAAAAGTTATATAAGTGCCAACCTTGTACCATTTCCATAATTAATACTAAACACTAATTGAATTTTCAGGAGTTCGAAGACTACCGCGATGCCGACGATGCTGTTTATGAACTGAACGGCAAAGAGCTGTTGGGCGAGCGGTAAGTTAATAGAAAAAAAACCGCGAAACTGAGTGATTCACGCTTGTCTGTTCTATTTTTGCAGCGTGGTTGTTGAACCCGCCAGAGGTACCGCTCGAGGCAGCAACCGCGACCGCTACGACGATCGATATGGTGGTCGGCGGGGCGGCGGCGGCGGTCGCTACAACGACAAGTAAGTACTGGCCTCAAAACCGGACCAAAGTACCGACGATTCCGTCCTCTAACTTCGTTTGCGTTGAAGTTTGCCCCAAAATTAGCATTGCCAAATTATTTTCATTTGAAAACCCCATCCACACAGATGCGACCAGTTTAAATTGTTTGCCACATCATTATGGTATGAAAGTAAAAATGTGTTCGCAATAATAGTTTTAAAAATTCTTTATAATTCGTATTCTTAAAAACCCCAAAAATGTAATATTTTTTGAAAAATTTTAATCAATTTTTGGTACGACTAAAAACCCATTTTTTTTAATGCCTAGATTTTTAATAATTAAAATTTTATAGAATTTTTTTTTAATTAACCAGTATTTAAATTTAAACCAATATCCTCTGTGTGGAAGGGACCCAAACGACACTGACTTGCTGTTAATCTTATTATTTCCAAAACGCTCCGTTTTCCTATGCATATATTATGTTTTTCCTATGTTTGCACGCCTCCTATCCGCATAGTATGTAAAATGTTTGTTTTGTTTGCGCATAACCCCGAGTGTAAATATGCATATGTTCGAATATTCACCATCACCGTTGATTTTTTGTGATGGAGCAGCGGAAGGCAGCAGCGCAGTGTCAATACTAATTAGCGAATCCATTCAATTATTCACCAGAAACAAAAATTCCAGATCATCCTCTCGTTACGGGCCACCCTTGCGCACTGAGTACCGCCTGATTGTGGAGAATTTGTCCAGCCGCGTTAGCTGGCAGGTAAGTGAGAGCATGCATGGATCGATATATCGATCGATATATTCACTGTAGCTTAGATTCGAGGAGTGTAGTAGTATTATTAACGGCTAACCGATTGAAATGGATCTCTATTGCAAAACCAACCCACTAATCAACTTACCCAGCCCATTCCCCCCGTTTCAAACCCCTTTTTGATTTCGACTTTATATCCCCGGTGTCCCTCTCTTTCCCGTTTTTCGTTTAACTCCTCCACTCTGACTCCAGCCATCTTTAATCTGTAAATTAGCCATAAGCTGACCTAGGCTTAAGTGAATCGAAAAAAAAACAAGAAAATACTGCTAAAACCCTGGTACTGATCGGTGTAATCTACCCACCATTACTTTCTCTCGCACACACCAACCGAAACCGAAAAAAAAAGAGTTTGAGGTGCTTTTGACTGAGAGATTCCCTCCTCGGCCTGGGCTAAAAATCGAATGAGAATCGAATCGAGAATGACAAACTAGTGACCGATTCAGAGTGTTTCCCAAAAACCATGATGAGTGGTGGAAGACAGAGAGACAGTCCCCAGAGCAGCCCCAGATTGGTTCCAATCTCCGATCTGCGATCCACGATGATCTGCGACCTACGACCTCGACGATGCGCCATCGCCGCCGCCTCATCCATCCGTCCATTCCAAACTAAACCAAAAAATAAAAACATATATAAACGAGTCGATCAGAATCGAAACCAAAACCAAAATCAGAAAGCAGACGATGACGATGGACGATGATGAGCTGCCCGGGTCAAAAGGCCAGCCCACGTAAACCGATTTAAAGACGTAGGCTGGCCTCTTGCGTGTGTTAGGTATTTAACTCTCTGCTAAAACTATTCACAATTTTAACTACAAACAATATTATATAAAGAATTGTCAAATTCCTTATAGCCATTGTGAGTGTGAGAGGGCGTGAATCGAGTCGATCGACTGTGTGGTTAGATGAGAAGCTTGCCTTGCGTTCGCTAATTCTGAGATGAGATGATGTGATGGTGATGAGAGATGATGAGCATACTTGACGATGATCGATCGAAGACACGATGACTATACGATGCGCGTTCAGAGTTACCAACTTGGGCTATCGCCTCCGAACTTAGTCCTTCCCCCAATTCCCGGTTCTTCTGGCTGAGACTACCGAGACTAGACAACCCATCCGTTGGAGCAGCGAGAGAGCAGCGTCCCGAAACGTATTTCTTATTTTTACAGTTCGTTTGTGCGTCCGCCGCTGCCCCGGCAAACTGCTCCACTCTCTGGCTCTCTCTGGTGCGGTGGTTCTGGCCAGCGATGTCTGCTCTGATCTGATCTGACCTCCTGTATCTGACTGTATCCGGTGTGGCTCCCTCTGAAACTAAACGAATACAGCTACCGCTATCTCGCTACTTCTACCGCAACACTTGAATACTTTTTTGCCATTTATAATATGATTCTGTTGTGCATGAAAGATGAAAAACATAAACCAAACAAAAACCAAGTAGCAAACCAAAACACGAATACCAAAGTAACGAAACGTAACGAGGTCTGGCTGGCCATCCATCCATCCGCTCATCCGCCTGCCTTAACGATGTTCGATCGGACTTTCGATGAGGTCATGAGGTGTCCTTGGTGTCATTGGCCCACAGTTACTAGGCAGACAATCTAAACTCTCGGTGTAGAAACGATGTGTGTGTCCTCCTCTCTCTGAAAGCGCATTAAGTAAGAATTCAATTACAAATATTTTGTTAACTTTAATTTATTTCAAAACCAAATCAACTCTATATATATAAACCAACCACTGTTAACTATATATTGTTTACGCTTAAGTTCTGTGCCGCGTGCAGCGTGGAGTGTTTGAATGTTCCGACCGGGACGCTCGCTCTGCTCCTCCCTTCCCGATCGTGAGATTCTCGGTTGGTTCTCGGTCCACCCCGTAGGCAGGCGCGACAAGAGCACAGGATAGACGAATACACAGGGCAGACACTCAGTGAGAGAGAGAGGGACTCTAAAATCGGACTTGGTTAGGAGCCACAAATACCAGCGGAATCATTCAAAACGCTCCATCTGCTGCACGGGCCTTGTCCTTTGAGTTGCGCACCCACTGCCGTCGGTTGCGAAATGTGCGAGTTTCCTGCCAAAGCTAAATTTTACTAATTCGTATCTCTTCTCTTCCGACTTTGTGCGTCCCCTGCAGGATCTCAAGGATTACATGCGCCAAGCTGGCGAGGTGACGTATGCCGATGCCCACAAGCAGCGCCGCAATGAGGGGTGAGTTGAAAACAATCAATAATAAATCAATTCTTATAAAAAATTGTTCTTTCCCTGCAGCGTGGTTGAGTTTGCCTCGTTGTCGGACATGAAGACGGCCATTGAAAAGCTGGATGACACCGAGCTGAACGGCAGGCGCATCCACCTGGTCGAGGATCGCCGCGGAGGACGCAGCGGTGGTGGCGGCGGAGGTGGCGGCGGACGTGGACGCTCCCGTTCGTCCAGCTCTCGTTCGCGATCTCGCTCCCGCAGGCGTTCCCGCTCCCGCCGCTCGTCGCACTCGCGCTCCAAGTCGCGCAGCCGCTCCAAGTCCCGTGGCGGACGCTCCAAGTCCAAGTCGCCGGTCAAGTCTCGTTCTCGTTCCCGCTCGCGTTCCAAGTAAGTTTATAATTAAATACTTTTTGTAGGGATCGTACTTGATATCAAATTATATTGATTATTTTTAATATTTTTCAAAGCAATCTGCATTTAAAATATATTAAAGAAGAAATACTATCTTTAAACGCCTAATTAAAATGGAGATCTTTATATTTGTAAAATCTAGAAAATAGATTACTATAAAAATATTACATACGATCCCTTTAAATATTTATATTAGTTTCTTATGCTTACCCACCTAATTTATTTCTCCTCTTCTGCTTTAGCAAATCGCGTGACGTGTCCAAGTCCAAATCGAAGTCCCACTCCCGCACCCGCTCCCGTTCTCCCAAGCGCGAGCGCGACTCCCGTTCCCGCTCCCGTTCCGCCTCGAAGCGCGAGTCCCGCTCCCGCTCACGTTCCAAGTCCAACCAACGCCGCGACTCCCGCTCACGGTAAGTTTTGCTAGTCTTGCTGACCACTCGGCTCTTTATAGACAGTTCACGATTCTTTCTTTCGTGCTTTCTTTGGTTTTGTTTGGATGCACCTGTTGTTTGTAGACCTCCAACTGTGGTCGTTCAAAAGCTCGTACTATAATGTATTACAATGCCTTTCTATTGCAGCGATCGATCCCCATCGGCTGACAACAAGTCGCGTTCGCGCTCCCGCTCCCGTTCGGCCTCGCCCAAAAATGGAAACGCCTCTCCGGACCGCAACAACGAGAGCATGGACGATTAGATTAGTTAGCTGTCCCATTAATTTTAAAACACTTGATTTTAGACTTCTACTATAACTATTCTACGAACATCAACACTCAGACACCCCAACTTACCCTGCGCCACTACAACCAAAACTAAAAACTAATGAAAATGAAATCATATACAAATCCACAAACAATCAGGCCTCGTCATTTTTTAGTATGTAACGAATGGTTGGCACGCGGAGAAGCCCACTTGTAAGCTGAAAAATGACGGGGATATGTTGGTAGAGCAACAGCGTTGCTTAATTGGATTCAAGGAGTGCACATAGGCCATGTACACCGCACCATAACACTTAAAATTGTCTATACGATGAGTAATTTCAATAAATACGGATACATTTAAATTAAACTTGCTTGGATGGTTCTACTTATAAAATGGATAGCTCTTTGGGCAAACAATAAAAATACGATTTCGATTTTATTCATATATAAATTTAGTTTATTGTTTTTGTTGTAATTTCGGAATATAAGTATATTACAAAGTCTTAGGTTCACTATTTCGCATTATTTGCCTGAATTAAAATTACAATTTCATTTGATTTTAAATAGCTTGAATTTAAAGAATTCCACTGGTAATTTTTTAACCTCATCGGCTGAAATATACTATAGTTAAATATTTAAAATTTGGAAATTAATTAGCATTCTAAAAATCGTCCAGTTAAATCAAGTACATAACTAAGTTTTTTAAACTGACAAAGTTTTGGTTTCAACAATATATCGTTTTTCCTTTTTAAAGTAATTACTTTAATTAATTAAGTATACTATTATATACAAAGCACACAAGGATAAAAGAGTTTTTGTTTTTGAAGCGTTTGACGTCTCGAGTGAGCAATGGGCCTTGAAAAATGTATCGACTAACTAGAACAGATTATCGAAAATCCTATTTTAAATGCGAATGCCTTAAAACAATATTCATGGGAATGCTTAAATTAAGTGTGGGGAATTCGGTTCGACATTATCTACAACTATAACTAAATGCATTCTTTGCATAAATGCGATAGGGGGAGGTCTTGGGGTCTGAGACGGTATATGTCTGTCTAACACACGTACGATCCAAGCATTCGGATGCCATGAATCCATGACATCATGAACGTACGAGTGAGTTATTTGGCACATCGTGGAGTCACTTGAGCACTGGAGTTGCCTGAAATGTTTGGGCTTCTAGCTAAGTATTTTTGACACTTGGTTAGATAGAGGACGTGGCCTTAGTTGCGGCTACTAACTACTTGCGCACCGTAATTGTAAACTAATATCGAGTTTGTCTTCAAACATTACGTAATCATAATAAGTCTGAATAAAATGGATTTTTTAAACGTTAGCTAACATTAATCGGCTAAATAGTATTTACAGCATTAATTTGACACTTTCATTGCGTTATTTTGGCTCCTGGAATATATTCTACGTTTATATGCACGATCAGTTGCAAATTAAATGATTAAGATAGTTGGGGAAAAAAAGCAAAACGTTTCTGTTATGCTTGAATTTTTTTTTGAAACCGTTTCGGTTTTGAATTTTAAGTATTTCAAGGGACTAAAGGCAGTTTAATAGTCCTTAAATTGTTAAGGCTTTGATGGTATCAGTTTGGAAATACATTTCAAAGTCCTTCTCGAAACTGGCTATTACGATTTTCATGACCCTGTCTATGATATAATATAGATCTAGAGTGAAATAAATTATTTTACAAATAGCTGGGCCTATAAACGTAGTAATACCCTGGTTGATTTTGGCTCGAGGTTATCATCGGAATCGGTCTATTTAAGGCTACGGATGATTGGATGTTAGTGTTAAAATAGAAAGACTACAAGTGAGTGGTTGGTTGCCGTTTCATAATCTTTCGCATCGCTTCTAGGTTCTATCGCTCGGAAATGGCAGTGGTTTACAATCAATTGTATAGTGCCCTAGTTGTAAGTGTTGTATATATAGGTTTAGTCTCTATCCTGCCGACTGACTACATGTTGTATAGATTTTTATGCACTAGTTCACATTGTAAATGCACACACATGGCATATCATATCATATCATATCGCGGGGGAGCCTACATAAAATGCTCATTATCATTATCGTTATCCAAACGCTCAATCGTCGTGTCCTACATTCAGTTGCGAATCTATATAAGTTTTTAAGTACTATTAGAGCCTTGTTATCACTTTCGATTTGTAAGTCGTTTTTGGCGAGGGCTGGGGCCGCCACTTCGTTGTTCCAGCAACCCGCAGATCCTCCACCAAATATATCTAAATAGCGCCTCCTGCCCAACTCCTAGATCCTCCTAGATGCGAATGGATAAAAGTGAGACATTGCGCTTCAGCAGTGTGTGCGGTCGCAGCTCCAAGCTCGCCGTATCCCCCATGTCCACCATGTCCACGCCCATGTAGCTGCTGTCCATGGTCCCGCGGTCGGCCAGAGTGTGCAGGCTCTGGGTGTCGTAGTCGTAGTTCAAATCCTGCATGGGCACCACCTCGGGCAGAAGGTGTCGGATGTGTGTGGGCGATCGCCTCAATTTGTATTGATTTCTGTGGGTTAAGATTTCAAGATTTTAGATAAGCATTCGATTTTATAGGGGGTCGGTACAATAGGCATGCATGATGGGTGGAATAACCTGACTTCACTCAAATATATATCCTTCATAGCGATAATTTTGATTGGGTTTTAATTATGTAATCTTTTATTTAGAGACATATATCAGTTGAATCAGGTTATCAATCTAATCGGATGAAATGGAAAGCTTACTCTGCATCGTTGTTCTTTTCCAAGTGGTTACTTCTGCAGATGTGCAAAACATAAAGTGTAATAAAAATAAAAATGAGTACACCACATTCATATAACATTACAATACTCAATGAAAGAGGCCGAGGAGTAAGACAATTCGCACAAAGAAATTTTCTGCCCAAAATATTATCCTTAATTGGAAGATCTCGTTTAAGAAATCAATAATATATTTATGAAAACCCTACAGTTTATATACCCTTTAGCCAAAACGTAGTAATTTATGATACTTGTTTTAATGAAATTTCGTATCATTTTGATCTTAATAAAATCTTAATTAAAAGAAAGAAAGATCGAAATGTCTTTTTTACATTATTCAATGGTAAAAATTATTTAAAATGATCTTTGAATACCAATTTGATTTGGAAATTCTGTGTTTAAAGACAATTACAAATTTTGTAAATTTCGTATAATTTTGATCTTAATAAAATCTTAATTAAAAGAAAGAAAGATCGAAGTGTCTATTTTACATTATTCAATGGTAAAAATGATTTAAAATGATCTTTGAATACCAATTTGATTCGGAGATTCTGTGTGTAGAAAATCCTTCAGTTTAAAAAAAATTAAAAATTTTTGAAATTTTGTATCGTTTTGATCTTAATAATTCTAATCCTAATCCTAATCCTTCAGTTTAAAAAGATTTTAAAATATTGGAATTGTTTCACTTTCACATTCAATTTAGATTAGAAAACCCCTTAAGAGTAGGTATAAAATAACGTTATCTAATCAAACTTTAAGGTAATCTGCTCATAATCTTTGACAATGGAAATCCTGAAACTTGAATACCTAATTTAAATCCTATCTTGAGTCACTCTAAAGTCGGCATAGGCGAAGTCACTTCCAGTATAAAGAATTTGTATTGTACCAACTGGCTGGACAAAAAAGGGGAAATACTAAAGGTCAAAGAGCTTTCGACGGCCCTCAGACACTTGTGAGCCCCCCGAGTCCCATCTCTAGATAATAGAGCAGGAAAATCCTGTCGAGTGCCCAGTGAATTGGCCTGCACCCCTGAGCCTCTTGCTAATCGTGCGATTACGTACTTTTTATGTCGGTTGCCTTTGAGGCACATGCAATGGCACGAGCACATGGACGAGGTGTTGCTTCCGTTCAGAGACTGGCCGTCGTGTCCCTCGTAGCCGCTCAGAATGGATCCGTTGGATGTTATCACATCGCCCTCCAGCTTCACAGCCACTTGCAGCGCCTGCAAGGGGTTATTACAGGTGTATTAGATATATATCTTGAACAGATCCAGTGGGGTGTTGGAATGCCGAGTGGGTGGAGTATAGCGTTGAAGACTGAGGAACGGTATTCGTGTGGTTGTGGTGATGGGATTATTATCATCGGGGTGGTGGTGCTTCTTGTTCAGTGTCGTACAGAAAGCCAGGTGGTTAAGTAGTTTGTTTTAGGGGGCGTGTTAGTTTAGTTTTAGTCAAAAGTATTGGAATCTGAAAAACCGCAATCACCTCGTTGGTCCATAAACTGGACTTGGACATAAACTAAGCTCGCGTTTTGCATTTGGTTCGTTTCATTATCGTTTCGTTTCGTTAAGTCAAAAGCAACCGAAAATATGCGAAAAAAGAAAATATTTATTCGATTTTTATTGGGTAGCTCTCGCATTTGGGCCTGCATTGAATAGATTTTATAAATTAATTTGTTCAAACACATTTGTTATAATATAAGTAAATTGAAAAAGAAACCGGAAGGTGCAAGATCAAGAGTTAGCCAAGTGTGCAGCAAAGTGGCAAGCAGATATGATATGATATATATAAAAAAGGACTATAGTTAATTTAACAAGTTTTTGGTCAAAAGGTACGAGAGTATGAGACAGATGGAAGTTGTACGAAGAAAAAAGTTGACAAAATTTGGAATATTATGGAATCTAGGGTACAGTGAAGCGTTGGTATAAGGTTAAAAAGCTGTAGATCAAAAGCGGTTGACTACCAAAAACGGAGGGGGGAAAAGCCTCGAGTTTGGAAACACTCGCGCTGGTACGAGTGTATTAATACGATAGTAATATAAAATCCAGAAAAACAGTCCTCAAGTCTACGGTAATAAATGGCATGAGTTGCTCGACTTACTCCCGAACGGAGGACCCTCATCTCACCTGCATGGCCTGGGCCTCGTCGCGTCGCTCATCCTCGGTATTCATTGTAACAAACCTAAGTACTAACAAGTTCAGCGAGGCGGCCACGATGGCCAGGCCAAATAGTATAAATATCAGTGCGAACATCACGTATTCGGGCTTCCTGTTCAGTGCATTGTCCCGCTGCAGGGCTACCATGTCGCCAAATCCTGTAAGGGTATTAAATAATATATATCATTTGATAGGATACCGGAACCTGATCCCTTACCTATTGTGGTTAAAGTAATAAAACAGTAATATACTGAATCGAAGTAGCTCCAGCCCTCGAATTTCGAAAAGGCCGCAGCACCGCCTGCTATCGTCAGCGAACTGAGTGTGGTCACAACACATATGAGGTCCACCTCCGAGGCGACGGTCCTTTTGCAGCGCAGCGAGGAGCGGACCGCTTTGATAACATAGCTGTGGTTCGGAAATAACATGATATGTGAGTTCCAAGATAATAGAAAATGAAATTTAGATCAACTACTTGAAAGTTTCAGGTCTGAAATACTAATAATGAAAGTTAAGCTAATTTCTTTATAGCGAAAAAGCTTAGGGATATGTGAAATTGTGCTTCGAAATTGAAATACTGAAGACAAGTTATAGTTTTAATACACCCAATAAAAGCGATATGAAACGTAGATAGATTTTACAGTATTTAAGATCAATTTTACAGTATTTAAGATCAATTTTACATTATTTAAGATCAATTTCAATTTGATATGCGGCCAGGTAAATTTTACCTGTTCAAAGAGTATTTCATGTAAAAACGATATGGGTTTTGCATGACCTGAAATTTACATGGCCATATCGCTTTTACGGGAACACGCTTATATTGTGTGTATGAACTAGACATTGAAGAGTGAAAATTTATACAAGCAAACACACCTGCTCAGTCTATTCACTCTTTCTCCGATGCTCTGGAACATAACGAGACCCAGGGGAATCCCCACAATGGCATAGCACATCGTGAAGAGCTTCCCGCCCACCGTACTGGGCGTTGAGTGTCCGTAGCCTGAAATGGTGGGTCATCATTAGTAGTATATACATATATATCATCGCATCTATATATAGGTTAGATAACTCACCTATGGTGGTTAGCACCGTGGTTGCATAATAAAATGCACCGGTGAATTTCCACTGCTGGCCGGCCTTGTGCGATTCCGATTTGAGCACCACAGTCTCCATGACTTTGAAGTCCTCCATTGAGATATTGTATTTGCGTATTATCATGTCCTCGGCATCTGCAATTAGTCGCAAGGAAGGCAAGAGTGTTTATGACGCAACTCACACGAGTCTCGACGGCAGGTAATGGTCGTTATGTTCGTCAGTGAAAAGCAATTATGCACTCAAACAAATAAGGGGTCTTTTGAATAATCAATAAGCTTATTTCTAATCTAAGAGGTATAACAGGATTTTAATGATTGGTCCTATGAATGGATTTAAAATTTGTCATTGAAAAAAGTTGGGAATTACTAGATTAGTATAATTAGTTTTATTAAAACTTTTTTTAGAATGAAAGTTTTAGACTAGACTCGAACTCGGAACCTCATAAATAAATCATAAATCTAATTCACAAAAATAAATATTAAAGCTAATTATACATATCTTCTTTGAAGAACTTTCTTAAGTGTTGCAAGAAATGTAGTATTTTTTATATCCCACTGGCAAAATATTTATAAATTAAGGATCTTTAAATTATATTGACCCATTTTTGTATTTTAAAAACCCTAAATCCATTTAGAATATAGTAGTATATTTATTTAGTATATAGTAGTAAATTTATGATTTAATAAGAATATTAAAATTATACTACCAATTTTTGTATTTCAAAAACCCTAAATCCTTTTGAAGTGGAACATTTTTTTCAGTGTACGGTTGTGGTTGCACTTCCACTTGCTTTCGCACTCACCTTGCAGCGCCTCCCAACGACGCTTTTCCGTTTCCGATTCGAGGGCGTCAAAGACGGCGGCGCCGACAAGCAAATAGGTAAATGTACACACGATCAAGGATATCGTGCGCACATTTTGTTTCTTCATTCTTCATTTAGGCGAGTATTGGGTGGTTGATCGTTGGTTCAGTGGCGTCGCCTCCGTTTGCGGTACAGTTTGCAGAGTTTGCAGTTATCCTGGCTGCTCACCTGGCTAACCGGCCTGCACCTGCCGTCGTCCATATGAATCCCGTCGAGTCGCTCGCAAAGGACGAACTTCCCAAATTGGGTTAGGACGCGACTTTCACTCGGTTCTAGTTTTTGGTCTCTTCTGATTTTCTTTTTCTTTTTGGCAAACTCACTTAGCACTTTGATTGCATTAAAAATAATATCACTCGGGGAGGGGGGAAGTGCTGGGTGTTCGTTCGAGTCGGTTAGCTTTCGGCGAGGAGGTGGTGGCGTTTATTTCTGTCACAGGCCGTGGGCCTTTGTCCTCGTCGCGTTCGTTGCGCCGTCCATGTCCTTGCGTTATTTATGCTGCCAGTGAACGTAGTAGGTGTGCATGTGCATGTGCCCGTGCGTTCCATGCTGCAATCCTTCATCGGGCGGCGCTGCTCTCAAGGATTATGGTGCCACTGCTGCTGCGGGTGACGGGCGCCATCGCGCTGCGCTCGTACTTTCGTGTCCTTCCTGCGTGGAATGGCTCGAATTAGGTTTTATGGCTGGGCTAAAAATAGCGCCTGCAACTAATCTCTCATCATCAATATCGGGACCCCACTATATGAAGTTTCCCAAAACAGTTGTGGTCAAGTTTATAGCACTCGAAATGAATTATTAAGTATCAATAGGCAATACAATTTTTGTATAATTTTGATTGTACTATGGGCAAAGTTTGGTTCAGGTTTTTCAATCTCTGAATTTTAGATAACTCTTTAAAGGACTAAAATAAGAGAGTCAGAATAGATTTTTCTAATCATTCCAATCCTACTTTAAAACATCATTTAAAGTGATTTAAATGCTGTAAATCACTTTAAATTTTTTAATTTTATTATTTACAGCATTTAAATCACTTTAAATCAGCGGTCGGCACACTCATACAATTTCATTATACCCTTGTAGAGGGTATTATAATTTCAGTCAGATGTTTGCAACGCAGTGAAGGAGACGTTTCCGACCACATAAAGTATATATATTCTTGATCAGCACCAATAGCCGAGTCTATCTAGCCATGTCCGTCTGTCCGTCTGTCCGTCTGTCCGTTTCTATGCGAACTAGTCTCTCAGTTTTAAAGCTATCGCGATGAAACTTTCCCGAAGGTCTTCTTTCTATTGCAGGTAGTACATATGTCGGAGCCAGCCGGATCGGACCACTATATCTTAAGGCTCCCAATCAAATATAAGAAAATTCATTGTAACTTTGTAGGAAGTAGGCGTTTTGATTCTTGACTACTTAAAAACAAAATTGAAATAAATCAAAACGCTGAATCTGGAATCCCTGGAACTGCACCGAGTGAGTATTCTTTTATCTACAAGGGTATATAAGCTTCGGCTGACCGAAGGTAGCTTCCTTTCTTGTTTTGTTTTATATTTGTGTGAGTAAATTGCACGGGGCAGCTCATCAGTGTGTGTGTAAAGACCGCTGTTCTACAGTATACGTGATAGGCAGAGAATGAGCAGAACAATTTCCTATGCTCACTTAATAGGACGCTGCCGACCGCTGCTTTAAATGGTGTTTTAAATTATAGCGTATAATAAAAAAAAATAAAGCATTTAACCAAAGGATTTAGGGATATATGACCACCTAACAGGCGATTTTTAACCTTTGTAAACTTCCTATTAAAGATCTCAGGATCCTAACTTAATTTTTGTGCTATTCCTTTGACCGCCGCTGTGTGTACACTTCATCTCACCTTACTCACACACACTCGCCCACTACACCACACCACACAAACATGCAAATGAAAAATTCATTTGCATGTGTCCTTCGCCCAATGAGCGTAAGGATTTGTGGACACACTGGCAAAACTGGCATTTTGGCAACGTGTGAAGCTGCGAAATCTCAGCTGTAATTGTTGAATAATTCAGTTAGCACGCGGGATAATGAGACGCCGAAAATGAAAGCTCTTCCTTGAGAGTCCAAGTGTGTGTGTGTGTGTTTTGGCCATCTAACGGCAATTTATTGATGAACAATGAGGCAGCATTGCAGTGTCTCTGAATTATTCAAGTGTGTGTGTGCGTAAGTGTGTATATGCGTAAGTATGTGTCAGAGGTCCAAAGCGCGTTGAAGTGTACCCACACACACATACACACATACACAGACAGACAGAGGCACAGGCTTTTTTTAATTCATCGAGTGTAGTAGCCGAAATGTTGGTCCTTCGGTGCGGATTGTGGGGGTTGGTTTTCCTTCTCCCCTTATCCACATCCCCACAGACACACACACACACACAGATACAAGTGATGCCCGCCCTTAGTTAACTTTTTTGTTAGTTTCCTTGCTTCTTGTTTGTTGTGCTATTTCGCGCAGCTTTCTATCCACCCCCTTCCCCCCGAAAAATCTCTCGCAGATTCCTTCACAATTCCCATGCACTGGCAATGACAGTGACACTATCAAGAGACTGGCCCTCCCCCCACACCCCCCACTTCGCGAAAAAAAGGACGAGCAGAAGAAGAGTCCTCACATTTGAATTGTTCCATTATGTAAAGCCCGCACACATACACATCCTTTCCGCTGAAAACAGGACGAGAATCTCGAACGGTCGGTTATTAATCATCAGTCACCGCAGAGCACACAGCACACAGATCCTTTGCGTTTCGTTAGCTATAATTGCACAAATTTCAGCGGCGCCCCACAATTTTTTCACTACCGTAATTTGGACCGCACTTTCGTCCTGTCGCATCCGTAATGCTCTCGACTCGACGGCTGCGGAAGCTTTGCTCCGGCGCACAAAACCATCGGTTGCTGGCAGGGTTGTGAAGGATATTATTCTGGTTAAAAATTATAAATGTTCTTCGAAAGACAGAACATTTTCACTTTTTTTTTAAGGGTTTTAATTTATATTTCCTTTAATGGCAATCGGATGCTGCGGCACAAGTGAAAACATTTTACGACTTTTACGCTGCGAGCTGTGTTGCTTAAATAGATTTTCGAACGAAAGCTTGTCCTGCTAAATTTTCCCTCTTCGCGGAAATTCTCTCTCACTGTTAGGGCTCTCTTTGAATATTACATTTCCCTCGGAGTCCTTGGTTTGAGTCTTCGCTTAGGTCATGTCGATTTTTATTAGCCTTACTTCGAAAAAAAAACCAATTAAAAAAAATATTAACACTTCTAAATTTTACAAATATTTTATCAAATCAAACTTTTTTCTAAAAAAAAAATGATTTATGTTTTACATAAACCATTCTATTCTTGGGCCTTAGACGAGCACAGTTTGAAAAGCACTGTGCAGACTTCAGAATTGGTTGAAAACTCGGCTAGCTCAAAAAATCTCAGAGGGGAAATTTAAAAAATATTTAGTCTTTTAAGCTAAAAATAGTTATTCTAGATTGTAGTTCGAAAACGTTCAGCAGAAATTACTCATCAAGTCCTGAATCACTACTTTGTATCCTTTATCTATCTTCTTGGCACAGTGACCCGGCTGTCAGTCATCAAGATGACTCCGGCTAAATTGGCCTGACTGACCGCCTCTGCAACCAGGTTACCAATCCAAAAATCAATTTTCACAATTCAGAGCAAACATGTTCAGTGCTGGCCTGGCCATGAGCTAATAATTAAAATGCAGAGTAAATGTACACTGACAATTCCGTAAAAAAAACTTAAATGGCTAAGCTACACATCAGTGCTCCATGGCCTCGGGCGGCAATACGATGTTGCAGCCAAGGAGACCGCGTCCACTCCATGTTTTTGGCACCAGGATTAAGTCCAGCTGCTGCTCGGCGCGCTTCACCTTCAGCTGGACATTCTGGTTCTGCATGTTGCGCACAACCTCGCCAATCTGGGCGAGATCTCCCTTGAAGTTGTTGCTATTAATCGAGCCAAAACGGAGGATGGCATCGCCCACACAAAGCCCCTGAAATCGGAATAAAAAATAGTTTTAATAAATAATATAATAATGACTATTTCTATTGCCACTCACAGCTTTCTCGGCGGGTGAATCGGGACTGACTAGATTGACCACCACAATGGCGCGAGCTGGTGCAAGGTCCGCAATATTCGCTCCTCCTGGCGATCGGTCACTGTCCAAATCCAAAGCGGAAGCGCGGTTTACCAACTCCGGATCTGTGGTGGCGATCTCACTGTGGTATTGGTTTAGCAGAGTCTGGATCTGGTTCATCAGCTCCTTGTGGTCGTTCTGCAGGCAGATGATCGTTTGGCGCGCCTGGCGCACCTGGTAAATGTCGATGTCGTTGCGGGGAAAGCCCTCGGAATCCACCAGTGGTCCGCTCATGCCGACATTATCGTTCTGGAATGAGAAACGATTTATTTATTTTGTGTTAACTATATAATTGAGTAATATAAATATTTATTATATTTACTTGATCCGGAAGATTTGAAAGTCTTAGGGCCGTTTTCTCGTCATACGATCCCATACGATTTAAAGGTTTTAATCCTACTTTAAATTTAACAAACGGACGAGAAACCGTCCTTAAAAGTGATTTCTATCTTTTTAGTTTCCCTATAGGCCTATAGGTTGAATAGGTCTATAGGATCATTGCAATTTATAGCACAATTCCAATGCAATCGAACGCAAAGACAGCAAGTTTTTGCAACTTTTTAACGTTACTTAATAATAAATGTTTGTTTCTAATGTTTGGCATTCCTTTAAAATAATAATTAAATTTTTTTTAATTACTGGAACGATGTTTTCAAAGGTGAGGTGGAATCAGTAGTCTTTAATTTTCTAATTCGTATTAAGAAGTTATCAATAAAATTCTCCAATGTTGTATTTTTAGTACCCTATTGATAAAGTGGATATACCCAAATCAAAGTAAAGGGTATTTCCCTTTGGTCCTATAAGAACAGCTGATCAAGGGCATTTACTACCAATGGGCCCACCAAAGTCAATGGACTCTATACAAAGTAAAGGGTACTGTAGTCACCGACATCATATGATCCCAGAAGGGTATCCCATAAGCGAATATACCTCATCCAAAAGTTAGGGTACCGCGATGAGTGCGCGACTTTACTTACGGCGGCCAGGATCTGTCCGTTTTTGCTGATCTGCGCCTCCAGCTGCTTCTTGGCGTTTATCAGCCGCTCCAGGCGCTCCTTGGTGGTGGTCCCTGTGGCCATGACTTCCCCGTTCGATTCGAGTAATACCAGTTTTTTATTCAAACAAATGTAAAAATTTGTTATTCTGATTTTTAGCTCCGCCTTGCCAGCAACAACAAAAACAACAACAACAATTGGTTGTGCAGCCCTGGTTGCTCGTGGCCAGTGTGACCGTATGGCCCGAACCGAAATTTGACCAAAAAATAATTGTTAAACAATTTTCGGGAAAGGAAAAGAACAAATTGAACGGCAGAGAGTAAACACGGGAATTAACAAATTTATATGAAAAATAGAACGAGAAGTTGCGCAGCGGAGCGGAAAAGGGGGTAACGGAAGTCCAGGGGGAAAGCGACGAAAAACTACGGACGACGAGAGACCTCGAGAAAATCAGCAGGGCAATATCAATTCGAGTGTTTGTGCGAATTGATTACAAAAATAAAGGTATTTCGAGAGGTGAGCGATAGAAAACGATAAAAAAAAAAAGACAGCGAACCGCGTGTGCGCCTGGCGAGGATTAGGAGTTCCGAATCCGCCGGAGTGGGGCCAGAACCCCACCTGCGATATGTGATCAGTGGGGCTCCGCGGAGGTTTATGCAATGTTCTAGCTCTCGGCGAGGCGGAGGAGAAGCAGGAGGAGAAGCAGGAGGAGGAGCAGAAGGAGCAGCCTGGCCAGATGACTGTGACCACGATGGAGGCACAGGTCAAGGCAGCACACCATCATCATCATCTACACGGCGGCGGGGGAGCCCAGCACAAGGAGGAGGAGGAGGCGGCGGAGGATCCGGGTCACGTTCGAGATGAGGACGAGATGACCCTGCTGCTGGCCAACAAGAACTATCACTATGACGTCGCCTCCGACCTGGACGACGAGGCCTTTGTGGAGCTCAAGCCAGCGGATGTGGCCGGCGCAGCAGCCAGCTTCTACAATCCCGACGAGCTGCTCCTCGAACAGGCTGGGCAGCCGCATCCACAGGTCACCTGGCTGGACGACGATGAGATCGAGACGCTGGATCGCGTCACCCTGGACATGGGCAACATGTTCTTCAATCGCGTCGACAGCCAGGACATCATCTATCAGCAGAAAAAGAAGAACATCAAGATGGTGGGCAAGTACATCATGGGCGATGTCCTCGGCGAGGGTTCGTACGGCAAGGTGAAGGAGGCCATGAACTCGGAGAACCTCTGCCGGCTGGCCGTCAAGATCCTGACCAAGCGCAAGCTGCGCCGCATCCCCAATGGCGAGCAGAACGTGACGCGGGAGATTGCCCTGCTGAAGCAGCTGAAGCACACGAATGTCGTCCAGCTGGTGGACGTTTTGTACAACGATGAGAAGCAAAAGATGTACCTGGTGATGGAGTACTGCGTCGGCGGGCTGCAGGAGATGGTGGACTACCAGCCGGACAAGCGGATGCCGCTGTTTCAGGCCCACGGCTACTTTCAGCAGCTGGTTGATGGGCTGGAGTATCTGCACAGCTGCCGGGTGATCCACAAGGACATCAAGCCGGGCAACCTGCTGCTCTCCCTCGATCAGACGCTCAAAATATCCGACTTCGGCGTGGCCGAGCAACTGGATCTGTTCGCCCCGGACGACACGTGCACGACGGGCCAGGGATCGCCGGCCTTCCAGCCGCCGGAGATCGCCAACGGACACGAGACCTTCGCCGGCTTCAAGGTGGACATCTGGAGCAGCGGAGTGACACTGTAAGAATTTCATAGTATACTTCATTTAATGGTTATTTTATTTATTTAATACCTTTAATAAGCAGTCATGTTATGAATATTTTTCAGAATATGTACCTTAAAATCTGAACCAAAAGAGATAGTTATCAATACTTATTTTATTTATTTCCTACCTGTAATAAGCAGTCATTTTATTTGCAATCTAGAGCTCTGCGTAAATCATTTAATTTTTGTTTTATCGTAGTATGCCATGAAATTTCTGATTTATTTAATGCAATTCATGTGAAAAAAATTAAATGATTTTCTAATTGAATTGAATTTTTATGAATTTGCCAGAATTAAATTTGAAAACAAAAAGTGCAAAATTACATACCTATAAATCTGAACCAAAAAAGACCCATCAACAATTAAAATTAGAGAATCAAGTGTTTATTGGTTTCTATAAATAATTAATTACATCAGTGTAACCACTGAAAGCTATTGTAAAATTTGTAAACATCTAATCATAATCAAGGATTTTCTTGTTTTCATTTTTGAGCAATTTTCAAGTTTTCCCAGGATTTTCAGCAATACAAAAATGGATAAATATTTTATAAATATTATAAATTTTATCAATTACATCAGTGTAACCACTGAAAGCTATTGTAAAATTTGTAAACGTCTAATCATAATCAAGGATTTCCTTGTTTTTATTTTTGAGCAGTTTTCGAATTCAATTATAGTTTTTCCTAGGTTTCTGAGCAATAAAAAAATGGATAAATATTTTATTTCTTCATATTTTACCATATTTAACTCACAATTAATTTCCTTTTACTTAATTTGACTTATTGCAGCTACAATTTGGCCACTGGACAGTATCCCTTCGAGGGTGACAATATCTATCGACTGCTGGAGAACATCGGGCGAGGTCAGTGGGAGGCGCCCGATTGGCTCTACGAGATGGACGCAGACTTTGCCAATCTGATCCTGGGCATGCTGCAGGCGGATCCCAGCAAACGCCTCTGCCTGCAGGAAATACGCCACGACACGTGAGTTGGAAACTGGATTTCTTTTTTGACTTTCCCACTAAAATTTCTCCTTTTCAGTTGGTTCAGATCCAAACCGCTGAAGACCGGCCCACCGATACCCATTCCCCCGCTGAAGGGCGACAAATACCGCAGCTCCACGGTGATACCCTACCTGGAAGCTTACCATTACGGCGATCAGGACCAGGAGGACGTCTACTTCACCGAGCACGACGTCAATCGTGAGTTCCAAGATCATATTATTAATAGACCTCTGATTTTGCATATTTGTCCATTTTTGGCCCAATTTTTACCAAAATTTCTAGGTAGGTGTCATTTTGTTCAAATGTAATAAATTCGGATGCATATCGGAAATATGCAAAAAATATATGCATAAAATATGCAAAATATATGCGAACAACTGGAGGCTCAAATTTCTAATGTAGCCCTCTGGTGTTCTAAGGAACCTTCAGTAAACACGGCGAGCAATTTAAACAAGCAGTTTGGCCGATAGGGCCAAAAACTATTCTGCCCCTTTTACTATTTTTGCCCCCTTCTCGCCTTTTTGTTGGAAATATAAATAGGGTTTTTTTTAAATTTTGGAAACAATTAGATATCTCAGAAATGAAGAAAAGAAACAAACAATTTTCTTCGGGTAAATTATATTGGCTATGAAATGGACAATCTTGAATAATTGAGTTTATTTTATATTTTGCATATTTTATGCAAATGCATTTTATGCAAAAAAAATAAAATATGCCATTAATTTTAAACTATATTTTTATTGAAACGAACTTTGGTGTTTTCGGAGTTGATTGTATCTTTATCCTATAAAAATATGCAAATATGCAAAATCCGAGGTCTACTTATCACCATTAAGATTTATTTACCAACCTCTAAATGCTTTCCCTACAGAGGAGCTCGCCCGCCAAGCGGCAGCTGCTGCCTCCGAGATCCGGGCCAACAAATCGGCGGCAGCCCAGGCCGCCTGTCACCCGTATGAGCCGCCTTCCACGAGTGCTGCCGCCGCCGCCTCCGGAAATTCCCTGGGCAACGGCAGTAGGGAGGAGGGGGCGGCGCCGCCGGTGAAGAAAAAGGGATCGGCCCTGAAGCGACGCGCCAAGAAGCTGACGTCCTGCATCTCTGTACGCAAACTGAGCCACTGCCGGACTTCGTAGGCCACTAAACTTAGATGCTAAGCGTAAACGAGAGGAATAACTTTGTTAACAAATTGTGAGGAACTTTTTGGTTTTGTTTTCCCGTTTTTTGTTGTCCTACATTCGCCAAGTATTTGTAAACATTGAACCAGGAGCTCCACCAGTTGGCCTAGCCGCTTCTGGGAGCGATCGGCCTGCAAGAAAGCTAAATATCCATGTGACAATACTGTGTATTATATGAAACAAATGAAAGCGTAAATTAGTCGTTAATATTATATGATGATGATAAAGATGATGATGTACTGAAAGGCAGCGGAGAATTGCTGGAGGAGACGGTGCACACATAAAGAAACATGTTGCAAGTGAAATTGTTGTTGGCTTCGTTATATTCTAAACACTTTACCCCCAAACAAATGCGATTTGTCAGGCGCCGTCGGTACAATAACTGCTGGACAGTATTTGCAAGGCCTAGGTTGAGATTTTAATTTTTACAAACCAATGAAACGAAAATAAAAGAACCCATTGAAGATCAAAATACAAAACACTGCATTTAGTTCGCACAATCCACTCCACAACACTCATTAATCCAGACTCTACCATTCACACAACATTAGGCTAGCTAGCTAACTACGGTCGCTTAATCTAGTTCCACGATCTGCAGCCGGGCCGTGGGATCCGGCTCCGTGTTCCTCCCCTCCATCAGCTCGCCCATGATGAACATCTGATGGTAGTGCGGCCCCAAAGTGGACAGCTTGCGCTGCATCAGGTGGCGCAGGGTGTCCACATACTGCGGCGGCACCTTGGCCAGCGGCGCATTCGTGTTCCGCCAGTGCAGTCCGTTGTTGTCCACGTGGAAGAGCGCCGGCGAGGGCACGTGGTCCTTCAGGTAGTTCCAGATGCACTCGCGCAGCAGGAGAGCAATCTGGAAAGAAGGGAAATACAGTGGTTAATGTAAAAATATTTAAAACAAGAAAGGAAGTTAGCTTCGGCGAGCCGAGCTTATATACCCTTGCAGATCATTTCTATTAATCCTTACAAATCGCAAAAATGTATAGTTTCGTATTATTTTGACATTAGTTTTTCTATCCTTTCCTATGGCAGCTATATAATTCCGATTTTTGTTAAATTTAATTTGAAGTTCCGAAATAAAGTCGTCCGATTTTGATAAAATTACAAATGAAATTCGGAAATATTTAAAAAGAGTCATGTCCTAAATTTGAACAAAATACAATAAAAACCAAAGAAGCTTAAATTTATTTCCTATCACTTTCCCATTAATTTTCCGATCGTTCCTATGGCAACTATATGATATAGTCGTCCGATTTTTTAAATATTTAATTTGAAAATCAGAAATATTTAAAAAATAATATTCCAAAGAGTAGAAGGTAATATTTAAAAAAACACCGAAGCTAGAATTTTTTAAACGTTTTTTTTTTTGATCCTTCCTATGGAAGCTATAAGATATAGTTGTCCGATCCGGTCGGTTCCGACTTATATACTACCTGCAATAGAAAGAAGACTTTTGGAAAAGTTTCAAGCCGATAGCTTCAAAACTGAGAGACTAGTTTGCGTAGAAACGGACGGACAGGCGAACGGACAGACGGACATGGCTAGATATAAACTTTATGGGGTCGGAAACGTCTCCTTCACTGACTGAAATCATAATACCCCTTGCATGGGTATAAATATTAAAGAGAACTCCCACCTCTGCCGATTCAAAGTGCTCGATAATGAGATGCAAGTTGGTAAGTGGCGGCGGAATCAGTTGGCTCATAGCCAGCAGCTGCAGCATCTTCTTGGTGCACAGCATCAGCTCATCGTTGGCAGCCGTGGGCTGGAATCTATTGACGTTCTTTCCCCGCCAATGATGCAGGCAGGTGGCGCAGAGTGCCCGCAACAGCACAGAGGAATAGCAGAGGGCCGGCCGATGACCGGCGATCAGTCCCAAAACCGCCCAGAGCACCGGGGAGGTGATGAAGGCCCGCCTGATCTGCATGTCCCGCTCCATGGTGACCCTGGTGAACTCCTCGTCCGGAAAGGGCAGCCCATTGTACATGACATCCGTGGAGACCAGCTCGACCAGCAGCAGCGAGACCAGCGAGTAGCCCTCCACGTTATTCGGTTTCTCCAGATCGGCACAGCAAGCGTTCAAAGCCTTGAGATACAGAGCCTGCTTCTCGGCATCGCAGTTTCTCTCGTTGGTGGGCAGCACGGGTCGCAGACCGCGGCCAATGATCCCGGAATGCAGCACGGAACGATTCGAGTTGGCGCCCGAGCTGGTGTGCAGGTTCTGCAGGATGAGCAGCTCGTGCTCGGGGATCTGCAGCTCATCCAGTTCGTACTCTTCCAGTTGGCCAAGCAAATGGCCATGGTAGAAGAGGGCGCCCTCCACCAGTTCGCGCAGGCAGACGGTTCGCGCAATCTTCCGGGCGGAGCACTGACGCTGCAACAGGGCGTATGAGCGATGCGAGGCCGCCGCTCGACGAATCACAGCTGCAAAAAGGTATGAAAATTATTCTTAGGCAAAGTTTAAAGTAGAGCCCTGCGTGAATCATTCAATTTTTGATTTATTATAGTATGCCATGAAATTTCTGAATTGTTTAATTCAATTCTTTGTGAAATAAGTTGAATGTTTTCCTAATTCATTTCGAATTGAATGAATGAATGAATAACTTTTATGAATTTTTGGAATTTGTCATATTTTTTTTGTGCTTTCTTTTGAGAACAAACTGGTGAAAATTTTTAACAAATCAATATTAACTGCTTAGTAAATAAAATTCAGGCAGATTTAATCACAAAATTATCCGGCCTGTTCCAGTTTTCACTCGGAAGTGAATCTGATTTCATGCTAGCGGATTTAAGTCCGCCTGTCAAATGCTTGGCGGAAAGTTTCCATGTGAATTTTTCGGAAGTTAACAGAGTAACAACGAGGGATATTTAAATCCTTGCAATTCTTTCGGAAATGAGTCCTAGAACAGGTCTGAGAAATTCGATTCCGTGTGAATCTTTCGGAAGTGAAAACTAGAACAGGGCCGTATGGGCCTTTCTTCTTCAAAAGAAATTGTCGTTTGAATTATTTCGGAATTTATGCCATTCATTCATTCAATTCTACTAAACTCAAAATTCAAATTAATTCATTCATATAAAACAAAAAATTCAAAATGATTCATTGAATCAATTCATGCAGGGCTCTAGTTTAAAGTATATAGAAACCTACTCTGCTCAGTCAGTCCCACAAAGAAGTACTTCACGCTTAGCACGGCCAACTTGAGAACAAGCGGAGTGCGCAGGACATTCGTACGACTGCCGGCATCTATATTGTTCAGCAGATCCACAATAAGGTGGGCCAAACGCATGCGGGTTACGTCCTCATCCTCCTCCTCCGCCTTTTCTGGTCCCTCCTCCAACTTTAACCGCTTTCCGTAGTCCTTTCCATTGCACAGATCATGGTTATTGTTGTTATAGCTACTTTGCTGCGCCCTAAATTTCTCCGCACTGCGCTCAGCGGCATCCTTGTCCATTTTCAGAACCAATTTGTTGACGGTGCAGTCAAAGATTTGGATGATTTTTGGAAGACATTCGTTGAGGGCCGCGTTTAAATGTTGTGCTTTAATGTAAGGAGCCACATTCTTGCTCTTGTGCATTCTGAAAGAGATTATTAATAGATTAATGATGCAAAATCATAGAGAAAATCATAGATTATACCTAGCCAGTATATTAAGGTTGGAAAACGTGTTGAACGCTTCTGTGGGCGTGCCCGGCGGCACTGGCAGCCGATTGTTGACCTGAACATGCAGCGTTATGTCCTCCAAAACCATTTTAAAGCCCGGCGTGAATCCGGGAAAGTTTACCATGCCACTTTGGCCACCCAGCAAACGGATGAGGGCGCCAATGCCATTGGGATTCTGTGCGTATGACTTCTTCAGGAGCTGCGATATCGTCTGGTAATAAATGTGCGGATGCTGAGAGGCTAAAAAGGGTAATATAAATTAAGTTAACTAAATAACAATTTTAGTAAGTACACTTTCTACTTACAGACCACTAGGAGCAGTCGCACCGCCGTCTGCTGCTCGAAGAGATTGGTGCTCAGGCAGCTCTTCCACAGCTTGTACTTTGTTTCCTCGTAGGCCAGATCGGCCAGCAGCGGAAAGTTGCGCTGATTGAGCACCCACTGTTCCAGCTCCTGCATCGAGTTGTCCAGAAAGTCCTGGCACCAAACGTACTTCTCGGCCATCCTGGCTGCCGTCAGCAGCAGCGTGGCTCCGTGCTCGTTTAGCCGGAGCACCGCGTTATTCAGCGTGGGCTGCATGCCGGCGAACATCTTGTTGCTCAGCCAGAGCGGCGACTTCTGCACAATCACCTCGCACATGTCCTCGTTGTCTGTAATATTTTCAATACAATGCATTATGCATTCATTACAATGCAACAAGTTAAAAAATTTAATGAATAGGAATAAAGTCGTAATAAAAAGGAACTCTAAGAACTAAATCTAAGGTTAAAATGCAATAAGTTACAAAAATTGAATGAATAGGAATAAAGTCGTATTAAAAACGAACTCTAAAAACTAAATCGAAGGTTACAATGCAATAAGTTACAAAAAATGGAATGAACAGGAATAAAGTCGTATGAAAAACTAACTTTAAGTATTAAATCTAAGGTTAATTGTAATAATAAGTTAAAAAAATTAAATTAATAGGAACAAAGTCGTATTAAAAACGAAAAACGAAAAAAGTACTAAATCTAAGGTTACAATGCAATAAGTTACAAAAATTGAATGAATAGCAATAAAGTCGTATTAAAAACGAACTCTAAGAACTAAATCGAAGGTTACAAAGCAATAAGTTACAACAATTGAATGAATAGGAATAAATTCGTTTTAAAAACGAACTCTAAAAACTAAATCGAAGATTACGATGCAATAAGTTACAAAAATTGAATGCACAAAGCTAAGAATGAAGTAACAATTAGTATAGTATCCAGTGCTGCCATCACTCAGCTTAAAAAACAAAAAAAAAATTGAAAAAGGACAAAAAAATGACAAAAGTTACTTCTTCTACTTAATAGGTACCATTTTTTACTAATTCATATTTCTTCGTTTTAAAACTTATCGCACATTTTTCTGTATAAAAAAACCGGCCCCCTGAAAAGATTTTTTTTTTTGTAACATTCAAAACGTTTTCTTAAAACGAAAAATCAAATTTGTTTTTTAGCAAAAAACCTAATTTTTGGTGGTCTGAGCGAGCCGGATCGGACCACTATACCTTAAGGCTTCTTAAGGAATATTCAAACAAATATAAGAAAATTAATTGTAACTTTGTAGGAAGTAGGCGTTTTGATTCTTGACTACTTATGTATTAACAAAATTAAAATAGAAACGCTGAATCTGGAATCTCTGGAACTGCACCGAGTGAGCATTACTTTATCTGCAAGGGTATATAAGCTTCGGCTGGCCGAAGGTAGCTTTCTTTCTTGTTTTTTTATGATAAAAATCGAACCAAAACCAACGACTAGCAAAACTAACATTAAAAACCTTGCTTTTGAAAAAATGAGAGATGATTGAAATTTGTTCCGGATAAAGCCGTTAAAAAAAGGACAGATCTGTCCGGAAAAAGTACAAAATGGCAGCACTGATAGTATCCCTCTAACCAGCTAGAAACTCACATATTTCCACCAGCACATTGACCAGGCTCTGCAGGATCGTGTCCGAGTAGTTGGTGGTGATCAGCAGGAAGGGCACCACGGCCACGTCCAGCGGCTTCTTGGGCGCGAATCCCTCGCGCAGCATCTCGCGGAAGGCGGCCCGCAGCTGCTGTTCGTGGCACGAGGTCATGTAGTCCAGGATGCCGGCCTCCGAGTCCAGATGGCAGCGATAGTCGTCGACGAAACGCTTGATGCCGCACTGCAGGATCTGCATGATGATCTTGTAGGGGAAGCAGCCGCCCAGCCGGGCCACAATCCAATCGAAGGTCATGGGAAACCGATGGAAGGCATTCAGCATGATCTCCACGCAGGCCTCCTCTTCCGGTTGCGTCAACTTGCGGAAGCAACTGTTGATCAAGGTCATCAAACCATGCATGGCGCTGCATTCCAGCCAATAGTTGCAGCTGGCCGTGATGGTCATCCGCCGCTGGGTGTATTTATCCGAGAGCTTGGCCACCAGCTCCAAACTCCAGTTGGCAATGAGCGGCGACCAGGCGGCTGGGCCCTTCCACACCAGACTCTGCAGCGCCGTCTTGACCATGTTGAAGGCCTCGTATTCCGGGGCGCGCAGCTGCTGCTGCCGATTCCCCGCCTGCTTCACCTGGGACACCGGCAGTCCGGTCTTCGCATCGGCCATCTCCGGCGACACATACAGCTGCACACTGATCTCGGCCAGCAGGGCAAAGTACTCGAACACAATGTCCCGCGTGGCGGGCAGCTCCTCCAGGAAGCCCAGGCTGCGGAGGATTGGGAGATTGCCTTGTTTATTACGGGGAAACTAAACTAAACTAAACTACTCACGCCAGCTTGATGAGATTGGGGCTGGTCAGCAGCTGGGGACAACTGTGGCCATTGCTCACCGTCTCTATGAAGTGCTTGAGCTGATCCAACAGGTTCTGGCGCAGCATCTTGTCGTTTTATTCATCGGGAAAGTAGAGTCGGGATTGGCCAACAAATCTTATGCTGTTGGTCTTAACAGTGGCCTGCCCACTCAGCGTGAACGTTTGTAGAACATTTTTCGGTATATTTTGTAAAAATTAAGTTGGCAGGATGCGTCGTGAAATCAGGATGGCAACGCCGTCCGGCCACTCGTTGCTTGTTATTTATTTCCGAACCATGTTCGAGTCTCTACTGCTCTTTGAAATCAGACGTTTAACGGACTTTTGAATTCGTCAATGCACTATGGAAAATTGCAACCCAAGCTTATCATTCCTATCAAAGCCTAGTACTCACAAATTTTGTTTAACATTTTGTAATATGTTTAAATTGGCGCCAATTGCTTGTGAACAAACCAGATGTGAGCGCTAGCTTTACTTGTAAAAACCCCTAGTTGTTGTAAATCAGCTCAGTTACATTTAAATTAATACAAAAGAAAACGTCGAAAATAGTAATAAAGTAATAGTATTATTTATTACAAAATTCTTTGTATTTTGTTTTTAGAAATTCTAACACAGTAGGATTCTAAAAATTATAAATTTCAGAAATTACATGGCGTAGACTTCCAAAATTTGTATTTTTATGTCAATATAAATACAGATGCGGGGTCTATAATAAAATCCCCATTGGAATATTTAGATTTCTGAATATAAAGCATTTTTTATAAAACACATGTCAATGACGAAAAAATTGAATTATTTTTTAAATTTTTCATTAAAAAAACTGCTTTAAAAGAATTTAATTTAAAAAATAATAAAAATGTTAGAATATATGAGACTAAATGTGGAATGAAAAGCCAAACTACTTAAGTCGTTCCCCTAAGTGCTGAAACTTTAAGTTTAACTACAGCTGTGAAAAAAATAATAGCACCACTAACCCAAAAAAATTTTAACTAGTCACCCTACTCACATTTTTTAACTTTTTTAACTTTCCAAAACGGGTTTTAAATAGTAAGACTAAACATAATTTGAATATGAAAAAAAATGTTAGCTTTATAAAATGTATCGCATTAAACGAAAAATGTTAAACCATAAATAAAAAAGCATAAAGATAAACAATTTTTTTAACATTAGGCTTAGACGTTATAAAACCGATAAGACTGATATGACGGGCTTTTGAGATATCTCAGGTGATGAGATAAGACTTAGCGATGCTTTTTTTACTACATATGTTTTACTACTGTATGTTTTTATGGAAAGCACGTCGCCTATAAATGCTGATGCTGTCAGGTGAGGTCAACAGTGAGAAAGTTAAAGTCGTCTTCGCAATTACTAGAGTGTTGTGTTGTGTTAGAAGCTCCCAGAATGCAAACAAAGATTTGCATTGTCCTTTTGGCCATCGGCCTGTGCCAGACTTCTGCATTCTCATTGGCATCTGAAACCCAGTGCATTAATAATTATTTAACCCCCGTCATAGAAAATGTTTTGGCAACTTTTAAAGACGACATTCAAGAATTGGTGATTCAGATCGAAGCGCAAGATCCAGAGATTCTGTTGACAATCACAGACGAAGTTGAGGAAATTAAGGCTGCCGTCAAGATCTGCACTACAGAACAAAATCTCATAGACTCCTCGCGCTGCATCATAAATTCCGTATGTAATGATTTCCGTATAATAATAATCCGAGTATTGGTTTTATAACTATCAATTAATCGATTTAATCTTCCATTATTTTTTCGGTAAGGCTTTTCCCACCATAATCTCTACCGTCAAAGCCTCCAAGCCGCTGGCTGCTATTATCGAGAAGAATTTATTCCAATTGACAACAAATATAACGGCGGCCCTCGTCCAGAATGGAAGTAAACTCCGAGAAGCCATTAAAGCAATACGGTTTACCTGCTTCTCTGTTTAAATTTGGAAACAAACTATACTTCCATTTCTCCCATTGTCTAATTAATAAAGCAAATGCGTATTGTAAATAATAAAAGTACCGCCATAATCATCGATATACTAAACCGATAGGATCGGAATCGATACAAAACACTGCTTATAAAAATCGATAAATATTAAGTTCGATACCGTTACTTCCTCAGCTGCTTCTCCTCAGCGAGAGCTTCTTATTTTTTGGGGGTTCGGGTCGGATGCTTTCTGTGGTACAACTGCACAGGTAGCACTTCCTTAGCGCCTCATATTTTTTGTTTTTGAGCCGGTATAGGCAGCTGGAACTCAGCCCGTACTTCTGGGATACCACTGTCGCCGGTGTCCCAGCGTGGAGCTCCCGCGCTGCCGTCTTTTTCAGCTGGTCTCTGTAGAGTTTCTCCGAAGTTTCCTCTTCTGCTCGGGTGTTAAACTAAAAAATCCATTCCATTTTCAATTTACATCTACAATTTAAATTCACCAAAGAGGAGGAGCATTTGGCCAAACTCGTTGTTTTCATTTGAATGGACTTTTAATAACATTCCATTTTTCTGTAAGGTGTACATTGTTTTATCCAATGCACTATGGGGAAAAATTCCGTTTTTTTGGCATAAACTCTAGTTTTAAAGATAGGGCCTTGAAAATTATAATATATACTCCCTTTGCACAAATAGAATTTCGGTTTTTCCATTTTTTGAAAAAAACCTTACGGTTGTAAAAACACCACCCACCCACCACCTCCCCATTATGGTCAACCCCCTAAAAATGTTCAGAATATTTTTTTTTATTTATAGAAAACATATTTATATAGATAACTTATGTAAGATATAATATTAATAAAATAAAATTTAATTATTCTCCATCGAAACTCTCTGAAACAAGCAAGAAAGTAAAAAAATTGGGTTTGCCATACCTAGACACCAACTTCAATCATTCTTCTTCAGGTTCTGCTTCCAAATAAACACTATCCAAATCAAAGAAATTGATTTCACCATCTTCGTCTTCCTCCGTACTTTCAATATCGTTTGTAACATCGGAATTCATATGCAGCTAAACAGTGATTTATTGAAAAAGGGGCAAAAACGGGCAAAAAGCAATGATAACACCTGTTTCTTTATCATTTTGTTAATACATTTATATTACAACCTTGCGTCGATCGGCGTAGATTCTTAACTAAAGCTTAACAGAACACAATAACTTTTGTTAGTTTTCGGCTAAAAGAGACATACACAAGACATTAAACAACAGGACAATGCAAACAGTTACAACACAATTTGTTTTGAGAAGTATTTAAGCATACCTTGACGTAAATTTTCCATATTTTTGTTTATTTTTTCGCCCTCTGAACACTTTGCACGACGATGGGAAACTTTGGAGTAAAATTAGCGCGCTTTTTTCTTAGAGATGAGCACGTTAATCGATAGACTTTGATAGGCTACAACAAATTATCGGTGGCACGTAAAATTTTTTTTTAAATTGTTCTAATAAGTTTAACCGTTTTACTATTAAAATAAAATATTTGTTTTTTAAATTAGTAACTTTTATTTTTTGCGTTTATGCCAAAAAAACGGACTTTTTCCCCATAGTGCAATGTATTAAAATTACAACTTTTACGGGTTTGGTTTGTCCGCCACCTCTGCGGTACATAAGTGCGAGCGGGACAGACATAGGTAACTTCGGGTATTTTTTGGCATTTTAATAGCTACTCGTTTCTGATAATTTCCCGCCACAATCGTTTTTAGGTTTTCAATGCAATTTATAGGGAGGTGCTTTAATGCGGTGGCATCTATTCGGTCGTACCCCGGAGACTTCAAAGGCTTTAAGTTTTTTATTTCCTCCTCAACTTCCTCGCTGACTATTTGAGGTGTGGGCAGATCCATGGGACAGGCTATATCCAGGAACTGTATCGTCTCCTCTAAATCTTCCGGGTCACACAGGTCGAGGGGCTGAAAACTACCACTTAGGTGTTCTGCAAAAGCGTTGGCTCTTTCCTGGCTAGATCGACACCATACTCCGGTAGCTAATTTGAGTGGGCCTCTTGAGGTATTTGCTGGCATTCCAAAGGTTGTGCTCTGTCTTGCCGATCAGGCTTCTGCAGTCCTGCAATGCCCTCCTCAGCCTTCTCCTCTCTCTTACCATCGAAAGAAACTCCGTCAACCAAAAGTCGGTGTCTCTGTGATGTACCGTCTGGGTGGTTAGAGCCGTTGGATTTGCAATGGCTGCGTTCAGCAGAACAACATGATCACTGATCACTGATGGATAAGTAATCAGTAATCAAGTTTGTTCTGCTGAACGCTCATGATACATTTCGACGACGATATATAACAAATATTGCGCGCGAAATTTGAAAATATATATTTTTCCCGACCCCGCAACTGCAGCACTGCTCACAGCTATCGTGGATACATAAAAATCAAAAATGGCTGAACAATTATAAAGAATTTCAAGAATTTTAAATTATTTTGTTAATAAGTTTCGATATTTCGACTATCGATGCATGCCAGAAGTCATGTATCATGTATCAAGAAAAGGTAGCGTACTTTTTTACGCTACCTGATCAGTGATCACTGATGCAAAATTCTTGAATCATGATCAGTGATCATGTGCGTTCAGCAGAACTATCGTAAGAAATCCATCAGTGATCAGTGATCATGTTGTTCTTGATTTCTAGCAACGCTTCGACTTTGACTTGGACTTGTTGGTCGGATGGAATAAACCGTTTACGATGAGATATTTATGCCAGTGGTAAGGTCCGAAATTGCTATAGCTTATAATTTGCTATGTACTAAAAGTTATATTTTAATATGATTCCCTGTCTGATTTTAGGGTCTTTGGGTCTTTATTGGTACATAAATAGATACAGATAGAAAACTATGATAAAAAATATGCTTATTTGGCAGTTATAGGAAAAAGTTTTTTTCTTGAATTACTTTTTACTATTTTCTTAAAATTGGCTCCAACGATTTTTTTTTTAATTTTCAAACTTTATGGCAATTGAGATTCCTACTGATATATTTTTATAATTTCAGTTAGAAGTTTGTAACGCAGTGCAGGGAGGCGTTTCCGACCACATAAAGTATACAAATTTTTTTCTATCCGGAGCGGGCCGGATCGGACTACTATATTTTAAGGCTCCCATAGGAATAATCAAACAAATATTAGAAAATAGGAAGTAAGCATTTTGATTTTTG